GGAGAAGTCCCCACTCCATCTCCTTCATCCTGACTCCATTTATTTCATCCTGATTCCATCTCCTTCATCCCTACTCCATCTCCTTCATGCTGACTCCATTTCCTTTATTTCCATCTCTTCCATTCCTGTTCCATCTGCTCCATCCCATCTCCTCCATCCTCTCTCCATCTCCTCCATCCCCACTCCATCTCCTTCATCCCAGCTCCATTTCCTTTATTTCCGTCTCTTCCATTCCTGTTCCATCTCCTCCACCTCCTCCATCTCCATCTCTTCCATCCCCCCTCCATCTCCTTCATCCCAGCTCCATTTCCTTTATTTCCGTCTCTTCCATTCCTGTTCCATCTCCTCCACCTCCTCCATCTCCATCTCTTCCATCCCCCCTCCATCTCCTTCATCCCAGCTCCATTTCCTTTATTTCCGTCTCTTCCATTCCTGTTCCATCTCCTCCATCTCCTCCATCTCCATCTCTTCCATCCCCACTCCATCTCCTTCATCCCAGTTCCACTTATTTCATCCCAATTCCATTTATTTCATCCTGATTCCATCTCCTTCATCCCTACTCCATCTCCTTCATGCTGACTCCATTTCCTTTATTTCCATCTCTTCCATTCCTGTTCCATCTCCTCCATCTCCTCCATCCCCACTCCATCTCCTCCATCCCAATCCCATTTATTTCTTCCTGATTCCATCTCCTCCACCCCCATCTCCTCCATCCTCCCTCCATCTCCCTCCCTGCTTGCTCCAGCCAGGCTCCCTGGAGGCGCTTCCCAAAGAGCAGCAAGGAGTGGGGCAGTGAAGCCCTCGTGGTTCTGATGGAATAACAGCCGGGACAGTGATGGATTGCTTGGTGTGTTTGTCATATCAGGTGCTCCTGGCACTGCTTTTCCACGGGCTAAAAATACATCCCATAACTGTGGAATGGGTCCCAAGCTGCCCGTGGCTGAATTGATGGATCAGCCCAGCCCTGGAAAGCTCCAGCTTCCTTCAGCTTCCATCTTCAGAGGGAGCGTCTGGGCCCCAGCGAGAAAAAATATCAGATTTTTGGCATGGAATAATAAAGGTGTCCATGAAAAAAACCAGATCCCTATAAATGCATCAGTGATCGTTGGATAAGTCATGGAGTTATGGGATGGTTTGGGATGGGAGGGACTTTCACACCGTCCCATCCCACCCATTCCATGGGCAGGGACCCCTCCCACTGTCCCAGGTGGATCCAAACCACCATGTCCAACGTGGCCTTGGCCAATCCCGGGATCCAGGCCAGCTGCTCTGGGAATTCCAGCCCAGCCAGGAATTCCCAGTTCCCAATGTCCCACCCATCCCTGCCCTCTGGCAGTGGGAGCCATTCCCTGGCTCCTGTCCCTCCATCCTTGTCCCCAGTCCCTCTGCAGCTCTCCTGGAGCCTTCCCTTCTCCAGGGGAACATTCCCAGCTCTCCCAGCCTGGCTCCATATTCCAGAGGGAAGAAATTCTACACCCACCAATATTCCTTGGTCTGGAGTTCAGTTCAGTGAAGGGAGAAGATGCTGTTGTGAGAATTTCACCTTGGAGGATTCATGGAATTTTGGGATGAGAGAAACCAGCCCTTAATTCCAACATTCCCTGAACACTTCAAAATAAATTGTGCACCAACCCTTTGACTCCAGAATTTGGGAATTACAATTCTGGGCTCATGGGCTGGGAATTGCCTGGAGATATTTGGCTGTCAGCAGCAGCTCAAAAAAATCCGGTTTTGGAGCAGCAGCTCCAGCCCTTCATGGTGGAGCTGGCGCTGCTGGTTCTGTTCCAGAGGGATTGGAGGGTGCCTGTCCCCTGGGGCTCCCGGGCTGGAGGTTGTTCCTGCTGGGATCAATGGGATCCATCCATTCACCGACACAAACAGGCCCCTAATGAGCGCTCGTTAATGATCATTAATGGGCTGCTGCTAATGAGGGGGCCCAGCTGAGTATTGGGATTTGTACAGTGGGTTCCCAGCTGAATATTGGGATTTGTACAGTGGGGTCCCCACTGAATACCAGGAATTTTAGAGGGGGATCCCAGCTGAATATCAGGAATTTTATAGTGGTGAATATTGGGCTTTTTAGAGGGATTCCCAGCCGAATATTGGGATTTTTAGAGGGGTTCCCAGCTAAATACCAGGAATTTTATAGTGGTGGATATTGGGCTTTTTAGAGGGATTCCCAGCTGAATATTGGGGTTTTTGGAGAACATCCTTTCATTAAGAGTTGCCAGCCCCAGCACTGCAGGATCCAGGAACAGATTCCACTTGGAATAATAAATATTAAGGTAAAGCAGGAAGCTGGAGCTGCCCTGTCCCTACAAAGGTTTCACTTTTTAGCTCCGAATGAACTTCGGGTGCAGATTCTCCTCATTGGAGCCGAGCTGCTCTAAAAATCGTTGGGGATTTGGCCTGAACATGGGGATGGAATTAACCCCCTCAGCCCCGGTGCGGCCGAGGTGCCAAAGGGCTGCTTCCCCTCCTCCCTCAGCCGGGGCCGGGCGAGAATTCCCGAAAAGAGGAGGCAGACAATGAATAACCCAGAGCCATTACCCGGGGTTATCCAGAGGCGCTGGCAGCTCCAGGAGCGATTTTAATGAATTTCTCCCGGCTGAGATATCGACCCAGCCTCTCAGGGGGGCTCTGGAGCACCCGAGGTGCCTCCGGGGCTGTCTCGGGAAGGATCCGCAGCACCTTGGAGCTGGAAGGGGAAATCCATCCTGCCCTGCCCAGCCCGCATCCCTGGGGGAGCAGGGCCAGCGGCTCCGGGGATCCAGGGGGGATTTGGGGGGGTTTATTCCCAGCAGAGGGTTTTTCCTGGGGTTTTCCAGCTGGGAGCTGAGTGCCCAGGGGTGTGTGGCCTCGAGCTGTGCCCCGGAGCTGCTGGCACTGGGGTTTAATCCATAGGGATGATGTCATGACTGCGGAGACAGGAATTAGGAATTCAGGGAGCCTGAGGTGAGAACATTCCAGCCCCGACTCCAGCAAAGTCACCCTGGAGTCTTGCATTGCTCTGCTCCAGGAGAATTCAAAGTGTTCCATCAGCGGCCTGCTCTGCTCGGGGCTGCAGGAAATATTTAGGTTTTTCTCTCCAAAAAAACCCTAAAAAATCCAAAACTTGTCGATCCCCCAGGTTCTTCCTGCAGCTTTCCAGATGTTTTCCTGAAAATGGTGGGAGCAGCTGGAAAATCTCCGTTCCCCATGAGGTTGCTGCTCCTCCATCACCCCAAAAATGTGGGATTGAGGTGATCCCGGAGTCTGAGAGGTTCTTCCTCCCCCTCCCTCTCCCAGCCCATGCACAGGTTATAAATATCCCATCTGTTCTCCAGGCCAATTCCCAAATCCCATGGAGGCACTGGATGTGTCCCAACATCTCCACATCACCCAGCAGGAAAAACCCTTTCCCCAGCATTTCCCTGCCTAAAATGAGGGATATTTTCAGGGATTAGAGCCACAAACACTGGATTAGAGTGGGGGCACCAGACGAGGAGGGATCCTGGATTGAGGCTGAAAATCCCACAATTTTAGGTCAGAACCCAGGAGTCTGGCTTGGAATTCCAGTGTTGGGAATTAAGGTTAATTAAAGTGTTCCATTCTAAGCATTCCCTGTAATTAATAAAGGATTCCTGATGAATTAACTCCCAAAAAGCGCCCAGGCATTCCAGGGTTCAGGAATGCTCATGCTCTGCACACCACCACCACAAAGTATTCCAGCTCAACAGCTGCAAATGCTTTGCAGTGACTGAGACCTCTCTGTTATTTCTCCCTCTTACCGTGTTTTCCTAAAATTCCTCATTTCCTAACGTTCCTCTGGCACTGAATGGTAAAGAGGGGGAATTTTGGAAGCATTTCTCCAGGCGGGATGCCTCGGGAACATTTCTGTTCCGTGATTCCCGACCCAGGGTGTGTTTGTTCCCGGGAGAACAGGCAGATCTGTTCTTTGTCCTTCCCTGAATGCGGCTGGAAATGAGGGATCGCTGCCGAGATTCCTGCCGGGCGCAGGGAATTGATTCCGTGGGGATGCTCTGCTCTGCCTCAGCCTCTCCCACAAGTGCCTCTGGCAGCTTCAGCTTTTTCCAGCCCTTCCAGCCCAGCTGCAAATGGATTTCACCTTCTCCATCCCAGTTTAAACTCCCGATAACCTCTCCTAGGGGCGTCCATTAAATTTCGGCAGCTCGGCCATCTCCACCCCCGGGATAAACCAGGAAGCTCCGAAAGCTTCCAGCACTAAAACCACGGACAATCGATATTTCCCGGCGGGAATTTGGGTGTTGGAGAGCGATTTTCCCGCAGGTTGTTGGAGCCTCTGCGTCTCCATCCCGCCGCCGGGATTCCCGGGAAGCTCCCGCTGCTCCCGGAGCCGCTGTGGATGCACGGATTTCTCCAGGAGCCAGCGGAGCCCCCGGGAACGGGAGAAACAGCACGGGGAGCTCGCACGGGAACATCCCTACGGAGGGAATGGACGGAGAAACCCAAACCCCGTGGGAGCAGCGGCTTCTCCCTCCCGGGAACGCGCCCCAAGTCACCTGTTGGTCCGGCTTGTAGCTGGGATAACAAAACCTGGGTTTGTGCTTTCCCAGAGGCAGGGTTCCCGCGGTGTTCCCGGGCACGGGATCCCGGCGGGCTGGGCTGGCCAGGATTCCCGCTGCATTCCCGGCTCTCCCGGCCCAGGCGCGGTCCAGGGGCAGGAAGGCGATTCCCGCATCCCGGGCGCGCAGGGATGCGGGTCCCGCGCTCCGCCAGCCGCGGGGGCCGCAAAAGCGCTGCAAAAGCGCTGGAAAAGGGCTGGGAAAGGGCTGGGAAAGGGGAGATTGAGCCCGGCTGGACGAGAAATCCCGCCCGGACGGCCGCGGGGGACAGGGACAGCTCCATCCCGGGCGCTGCCCGCTGCCCGCCGCCGCATCCCGGGACTCGCGGGCGGGAGGGGAGGGAAGGGAAAGGGAAGAGGAAGGGAAGGGATGGAGGCGGACGGAATAAGGAGCCCAGACCTGTTGCCATCAGAGCACGCTTTACTTCGGCAGTCCCAGAGCGGGCCGGGACAGGCGGCTCCGTCCACCCGAGCATCTCCCGACCTCCGGCATCCCGGGATCCATCCGCCGGACGTTTTCCAGGAGGAAAAGCCCCGGGCCGGCCCCGCGCGTCCCGGGGGAATGCGGGCGCTCCGCGCTGCGGTCAGTACGGCCCCACCACCACCGCCTCCACCTCCTTGGACGGGCGGCGCTCCTTGACCAGAAAGTTGATCATGCCCTCGGACTTGATGAGCAGGTTGCAGCCGAGGAAGAAGATGCCGAACACCACGGTGAGGGCCAGCACGCACATGACGGCGATCTGCACCACGCGCATGATGTACAGGCTGCGCTCGTCCGCCGCCGCGCCGCTGCCGTCGGTCACCACGGAGGCGGCGGTGCAGCAGCGCAGCGCCCGCTCCAGCTCCAGCGCCGCGGCCCCGGCCCCCGCCAGCAGCCCCGCCGCCGCCGCCGAGGAGCCGTTCGGGGCTGCCGGCATTCCCAGAGAGCCGTTCATCCCCGCCGGCATTCCCAGCGGGGAGGGGAGCGGGGATGAGGTGGAGGTAGGGAGGGTGGGGATGGGGAGGGAGGGGCAGAAGGGTGGGGAGAGGGATTGGAGGGATGGAGAGAGGGAAGAAAGGAGGGTTTGGATGGGGAGGGAGGAGGAGAAGGGAGTGGAGAAGGTTTGGGGATGGAGGGAGGGGAAAGGGTTTGGATGGGGAGGGAGAGGGAGAAGAGAGGAGAGGAGAAGGGTTTTGGGTGGGATTGGGGGCACAGAGGGGCTGGGACGGGGCTCTGGGTGTGGCGAGGGCGGGATTTGGGCATCAGGAGAATGGGACTGGGGGCTTGCAGGGCTGGAATGGGGCAAGGGAGGGATGTGAGGGGCGTTTAGGGAAGGGGTTTTGGTGGGAGAAGTTCGGAGCGGGATGAGGAGGGGGATTTGGGGCAATGGGGGGATTTGGGGCAATGGGGGGAGCAGGATTTTTGCCGGTGGGATTTGTGCTGGGTTTCGACAAACGGATTTCAGGGATGGACTTTCCCGAGGGAGGGGCCTTTGGGGAGTGGCTCTGAGGGAATGGGTTTTGGGAGAACCCGCAGAGATCAGGTTTAGTGGGAGTGGGATTTCCCACGTGGGTTTTAATGGGAGCGAGCTCCGCGCTGTGCACTCCCAGGGAAGTGGGGTTTTTTTTTGGGAAAACACATTTCGGAGGAGGTTTCTGTGCTGAGGGTGCCGGGCCAGCCCCGGGAGCTGCGGGAAGAGCCAGAGCAGCCCCTTGGGGCTCGGGCGGTGGAACCCCCATTCCCAAAGCTCCCCCGGCTCTGTTTTCAGGGAAGATGCAGCTCGGAGCGTTTTGGAGCCTTGCCGTGTGCCCCAGGAGCGGTGCCAGCCGGGTGTGACCCCGGGACCCCTGCGTCCCCCTGCCCATCCCTGCCGGGCCGCCCGAGCACCCCGGGGACCCAAACCCCTCCCAAGCGCCTGGGAATTGTTGGGAATTCTCGGGAATTCTCGTCCAGCAGCCTGGGGCTGCTCCGGGCCGGTTTCCCACGGTGGTTTTGGAGGTTTGGGAATAGCGGGAGGAGGAGCAGCTCCCGGCAGGCAGAGTGTGTATCCCGGCACTGCAGCTCCCTGGCATTCCCGGGGATGGGCAGCAGGGCCGGGCCCAGCTCCGAGCTCCGGGCCGGCCATGACTTGGAGATTTCCTGGAGCAGAGCGTGGATGCGGAGCTGGGAGCGGCGGCCGAGCTTAACCCTGCGCTGTCCTTCCCGAGCGGGGCTGGGATCATCCCAAAGTGCCCCAGGGATCCGTGTGTGGAATTGGGACCATCCCAAACTGCCCCAGGGATCCATGTGGGATCATCCCAAAGTGCCCCAGGGATCCGTGTGGGACCATCCCAAACAGCCCCAGGGATCAGTTTGGGATCTGTGTGGGATCAGTGGGGCTGGGACAATCCCTGCCCATGGGGGTGTGGTGGCCCTGGAGCAGCTGGGGATTTCCTGGGATGCTCCTCATGGGAATGGCCCGGAGGAGAGGCCAAGGCCTGGGGAAAGGATGTTTTCCAAACCCCTTCCAGCTGATCTGTCCTGCTCTGGTGGCTGGGGTGGCACTTGGGGCTCAGTGCTGGGGGAGTTTTGGCCTTGCTGACCTGGGGGCTTTTCCAAGGAAGCCATTCCATGATTCCGCCATGCACTGGCTGGTGGCTGTCACCTGTGCCCCTGTCCTGTCCCCTGCACCTTTAGGGGCCCCCTTCGGGGGTGACAGTCCCCGTGGGGTCCCCTCACTGCCGAGAGCCTCCCAGCAGCGGGGCCTCATCCCGTGGGAACATCCTGTTTTCCTGCTGGGAGAAGAAGATGGGATTGATTCTAAGGAGCCAAGGGAGGGCTGGCAGCTCCTGCAGCCAGGGGAAAAGCTGGAAGAGCTCTTGGAGCTCCACACCATTCCATTTGGAGCGTGGCTCTCTCCCTTCTCAGCAGGCACGTGGCTCAAGCTCTGTCCTTGAGCTCTTCACCTCCAGCTCTTGGCAACTCCACGGGAAAATGCTTCCCATCCCGAAGCTGTGGCAGGAACAATCCCATCCCTAAATTATGGCAGGAAAAATCCCATCTCTCAATTAGGACAGGAACAATTCCATCCCTAACTTATGGCAGGAACAATCCCATCCCTAAATTAGGACAGGAACAATCCCATCCTTAAATTACGGCAGGAACAGTCCCATCCCTCAGTTTGGTAGGAAAAGTCCCATCCCTAAATTATGAGAGGAATAATTGGAGGCAGGAAGCTCCTGTTCCCTACCTATCCCACACATCCCAGTCTCATTCCCCCATTCCTGTCCCACACATCCCAGTCCCATTCCCCATCCCTGTCCCACACATCCCAGTCCCATTCCCCATCCTGTCCCTCACATTCCTGTCCCATTCCCCCATCCCTGTCCCACACATCCCAGTCTCATTCCCCCATCCCTGTCCCCCACATCCCAGTCCCATTCCCCTATCCTGTCCCCCACATTCCTGTCCCATTCCCATTCCTGTCCCACACATCCCGGCCCTGTTTCCTGACCCCGGTGTCCCACTCAGCCCCGTATCCCGGAATGCGGAGCGGGGCCGGGATTGCCGGGAGAGCAGTGACACCTAGTGACACTCGGGACACCGGGACACCGGGATATGGGGACACCGGGATATGGGGACACCGGGATCCAGGCACCGGGACACGGGAAGGAGCCCGGGCACAGCCGCGGGCTCCGGGCAGCCCCTTCCCCAAGGGCACAAATCCCATTCCTGAAATGCCAGCAGCACCGGCCTGGCTCGCTGGCACTGCACAGCTCTGCTGCCTTCCCCGGGCTTCAGATTCCCGGGAATCCCACGGCTGGAATCACAGACCATGGAAGGGTTTGGGATTGGGAGGGACCTTAAATCCCATCCCATTCCACCCTTTCCATGGACAGGGATGCCTGCCACCATCCCAGGCTGGCAGGGACCTCCTGCAGCCACCACACCTCCCTGTGGGAATAATCCCGGGAATCCCAGTGCCAGATGAAAACCTGGGAATCTCCACAGGGAAATTTTAGAACCCTGGCAGCTTTGATTTTTTCCTTATATTTTTCCCCTACATTTTCACTTTGGTTGTGACTGGAATTTGTTCTGTTCTGAGCAGGGCAATGCACACAAAATTTGGGAAATCTGAATTAGGGAAAGGAGTGTGACAGGATCCCTTTCATCCTGGGATCCAGCTGGGAATCCACACTGCCAGCAGGGCCAACATCCCACTCCAGGATCCTCCTTTTCGGGATATAAAAATTCCCTGCTTGCTTCTGCTCCAGTTATACCAGTGGGATAAGCAGGAATGAAAAGGTGGCAAGGTTTGGGATTGGGAGGGGCCTTAAATCCGACCCCATTCCACCCTTTCCATGGACAGGGATGCCTGCCACCATCCCAGGCTGGCAGGGACCTCCTGCAGCCACCACACCTCCCTGTGGGAATAATCCCGGGAATCCCAGTGCCAGATGAAAACCTGGGAATCTCCACAGGGAAATTTTAGAACCCTGGCAGCTTTGATTTTTTCCTTATATTTTTCCCCTACATTTTCACTTTGGTTGTGACTGGAATTTGTTCTGTTCTGAGCAGGGCAATGCACACAAAATTTGGGAAATCTGAATTAGGGAAAGGAGTGTGACAGGATCCCTTTCATCCCGGGATCCAGCTGGGAATCCACACTGCCAGCAGGGCCAACATCCCACTCCAGGATCCTCCTTTTCGGGATATAAAAATTCCCTGCTTGCTTCTGCTCCAGTTATACAATGAAAGGGTGGAACACAATGCCAGGGATGGGGGGGATGTGGGGCTGCTGAGTGACCCCAGCGGCCGTGGAGATGTTCCAAGGCTGGGAGAGCTGGGAATGCTCCCCTGGAGAAGGGAAGGCTCCAGGCAGAGCTCAGAGCCCCTGGCAGGGCCTGCAGGGGCTCCAGGAGAGCTGCAGAGGGACTGGGGACAAGGATGGAGGGACAGGAGCCAGGGAATGGCTCCCACTGCCAGAGGGCAGGGATGGGTGGGACATTGGGAACTGGGAATTCCTGGCTGGGCTGGGATTGCCAGAGCAGCTCTGTGCCCTTTGCAGCTCCAGGAAGGATCCTTGGGAGTGCAGTCCTGGTCTGAAGTCACCGTGATCAGTTTTATATGAACAAATTCCCATTACTGTCACATATCCAATCAATATGGATTTTTTAAACTTCCCATAAGTTTGGGATCGTGGGGCAATGTAGGAAACTCCAGTCACATTCCAGAGCAGCAGCGACAGAATTTTATATAAAGAACAGCTACAATTCCAATCAAACAACAATTAAATGAATCTGATGGTGCCATCCCATCCTTTTCCCAGGGAATGGGACCGTTTTCCCAGGGAATGGAACAGTTTTCCCAGGGAATGTTGCTCATCCTCATTTGCCATGGATAAGGAATAGGGGAGTGGCTTTACTGGAATATTCGAAGAGGATGGATTGGGAAACGATGAAATTGGGAAATGAAATCCCAAATCCAGGTGCAGGCATCAGCCCATCCCATCCCCTGGATATCAGATCCAGGTGTCCTGGGTTGGGAAGAGCCTTGGGAAAAGGGGAAAACGAGGCTGGGGGGTTGAGCCTGGCCTAGATAAAACAGAGCTCTGAGCCAGGCCTGGCTTTGCTGGGGCTGAATTCCTCCTCCTGGAAGTGCAGCGGGAAAGGAAAGGTGGGAGCCATGGATTTTAAAGGAATTTAATGGTGGAATGGGGTGGGAGAGGCTCCTCGGGCTCTCGGGAGGGGTTCCAGGGCCTGATCCAGGCCCTTCTCCAGGAGGGAACCGGGGTGAGCCCAAGGAGCTGCTGGTGCTTCCCACATTCAGCAAAACCTCCTGGGTTTTGGGCACAGCTGGACTGTCAGCTCACGGAATTCCACAAATCCTCTGGAGCTCTGGCCCAGCTGGGCATTTTCCCCATTTCCTTTATTCCCAGAGTTTCTTCCATTTCTTGGAAACCTGGAAAAATGGGATAGTGATGACTGCAGAGGGAAATCAGGGAATGCAGGAACCTCCTTGGGTGCAAACCTGGCTCTTTTCCATCTGTTTTCCTCTCATTTGGAGCATTTAAATGGAAGTCAAAATGTGCAAAGGACTTTTTCCTGAATTTTTTATTTTCCCTACTTTTTTCTTTTTTTTTTTAATTTTAATTTTTCTTTTTCTGTATTTCTTTTTTAAACTTTTTCAACTCTCCAGCTGGGATGGGAAGCTCTCTTTGGGAGAGAGGAGGAAAATATTCTAAGGAAAAATGAGGGGAAGGGGAGGAACCTTTCCAGGGCTTGGATATTTCCTCCCCTCTCCTGATTTTCTCCAGGTTTCCTTTGTTGTGGATTGGCCATGGATTCACTGAGATCTGACAAATGAATGAATGCTGAATCCTGGGATTATGCCGGAGCCCGGCATCTGGAATTAGAGAAAAAGTTCTGGGACTGCCAGGCTTAAAATTTAGCATTTTTAATTAGCATTTTCAATTAGCATTTTCCAACTGATTTTAGAGTTTATTGTTCTCTCCTTGCTGCTTCCAAAGGCTCCATGGAATTTTGCACACAATTAAAAGAGAGTTTTTTGGGACTATTTAAATTTTTTTGCTGCTTCCTGGAAGTTTTTAATCCCAGCAGAACTTGGATTTTTGCTTTCTGTACAAAATCCATTCCCCCTCTCCGCTCATCCCAGGCTTTTTTAGGAGGGAATTGCTTTTCCCAACTAAAACTTTTCTTTTTCCTTGCTGGAAACCCCAGGAATTTAAAGACCCCTTTGCTTCCAGGCCCAGAAGTGGTGTCCTGGTTCTCGCATCCCAAAATCCCGGAATGCTTTGGAAGGGGCTGAGCCATTCCTGGATTTTCCCAGGAGTAAAACAGAAGTGCTTCCAGGCCCAGAAGTGGTGTCCTGGTTCTCGCATCCCAAAATCCCGGAATGCCTGGGAAGGGCCCTCCCAGCTGAGCCATTCCAGGATTTTCCCAGGAGTGAAACAGAAAGGTTTTCCTGCTGCCCTTCCAAAGGGCTGCAAGGCAGAGGAATCCCGGGAATCTTTAACCCTTCCCTCCACGGAGCACCCCAAAGGCAGGGCAAAAACGTGGAGGAATTTCTCAGGATGTGTTGGGAAGAGAAAGCGGCTCCGAAGTAATTCATTAAATATTTTAGTTAGTGAAAAAAATCCTTTGTTGCTTATTTTATAAGGGGGGAAAAAAAGCTTTTATTGCTTGTTTTATAAGGGAAAATGTTTTTATTGCTTATTTTATAAAGGGAAAAATCTTTTTATGAGTTACTTTATGAAGAAAAAAAAGGGATTTATTCTTTATTTTATTAAGGAAAAAATGCATTTATTCCCTATTTTATAAAGGGAAAAATGCTTTTATTGCTGACTTTATAAAGGAAAAAATCCTTTTATCACTTATTTTATAGGGAAAAAATCGTTTTATGACTTGTTTTATAAGGAGAAAAATCCTTTTATTACTTATTTTTTAAGGAAAAATGCTTTAATTGCTTATTTTATACACAAAAATTCTTTTATTGCTTATTTTATAAGAAAGAAAATGTTTTTATTACTTAATCTTTAAGGGGAAAATGTTTTTATTGCTTATTTTTTATGGTGGAAATATTTTAATTAATTATTTTTTTTACAGGGAAAATTTTTTTTAGTGCTTCTGGTTTTGGATGAGGAACAAAATCCAAAGTGCCAGGAGGTTTCTTGTGTCAAAGCGTTTCTGTTTGTGCGTTTGGCGTTTATTAAAAATAAATCAGTGTCATAATACATTATTATTAGTAGTATTAGTATTATTAGTATTATTATTATTAATATTAATGGAGAAAGGAAGGCTCCAGGCAGAGCTCAGAGCCCCTGGCAGGGCCTGCAGGGGCTCCAGGAGAGCTGCAGAGGGACTGGGGACAAGGATGGAGGGACAGGAGCCAGGGAATGGCTCCCACTGCCAGAGGGCAGGGATGGGTGGGACATTGGGAACTGGGAATTCCTGGCTGGGCTGGGATTGCCAGAGCAGCTGGGGCTGCCCCTGGATCCCTGGAGTGTCCCAGGCCAGGTTGGGCAGGGCTTGGAGCCATGGAAAGTATCCCTGGGATGGGATGGGCTCCAAGGTCCCTTCCAACCCAACCCATTCCGGGATTCTGGGATTTATCCATGAATCCCTGACAGAAACGCTCCTGTCTGGGCAGCCTTTGCCCTGCTCCTCCTGCACAGAGGGATGAGCAGCTTTTACTGTCTGGTTTTCTTCCCCTGGGAGCGAATTTCCCTGCAAAAAGTCAGGAAATTCCATGCAAATACTGGCAGGAGAGCTGGAGCCCTGGGACTGAGGGGTGTGGATCCGGAATGGCCCCGGAGGGCCGGGAATGGCCTTGGGATGGGAAACCCGCTCTGGAGCGGGCCTGGAATCAACAGGTGTGCTCCAGTGTCCTGCCTGCTTCCCCGGCTCCCCTCGGCATTCCCTGGGCTCCCCTCGGCCCCTCCAGCTTCCCCGGCTCCCTCAGCACTCATCCCACCTCCCCTCCCGCGCCGCCTCCGCCCCTTCCCTCCCCGCGCTGTTAGCGAGGCCGGAGCCGCCCCCGGCACCTGCCCGTCCCTCCCTGCCTCGCCATCGCTCCCTCCCCGCCGCTCCCGGCGCTCCCCGCTGCCCCCGGGCCCAGCCGCAGCATCGCGGGAGCCGCGGCCATTGCGGCCCAGGCGGGGCCGCTGCCGCTCTGCCCCGGCCATGAGGAGGAGGAGGAGGGCGGCGGCTCCGCGCTGAGCCCCTGGGCGCTGCCGGGAGCCCCTGGATGCTGCTGAGCCCCCCCAGGACTGGCGGGGCTGAGCCCCCGGACTGAGGGCTCCGAGCCCCGGGTGGTGCTGAGCCCTCCAGGACCGTGCTGAGCCCCCGCGCTGGAGCTGCTGAACGCCCCCGGACAGTGCTGAGCCCCCGGAGTGACGGCTCTGAGCCCCCCAGGACACGGCTGAGCCCCCGGAGTGACGGCTCTGAGCCCCCCCGGACACGGCTGAGCCCCCGGAGTGACGGGGCTGAGCCCCCCCGGGCACTGCTGAGCCCCCGGACGCAGCTGAACGCCCGGCCCCCGCGCTGGAGCTGCTGAACGCCCCCGGACAGTGCTGAGCCCCCGGACTGACGGCTCTGAGCCCCCCCGGACACTGCTGAGCCCCCAGACTGACGGGGCTGAATCCCCGGGTGGGGCTGAGCCCCTCACGGACGCGGCTGAACCCCGGGACTGGAGGCGCTGGATCCCCCTGGACACTCCTGCTGACCCCTCGGACTGACGGGGCTGAGCCCCCCAGGATCCTGCTGAGCCCCCGGGCCGGTTCTGAGCTCGGGGCTCCGCCGCAGGTGAGGCCGGCGGGGTCCGTGCCGGGCTCCCCTCGCTCCCTCAGCCCCGGCTCCATTATCCCGAGGGATTCCCCTGGCTCCCGGCTCCGTTATCCCGAGAGATCCCTCGGCGTCCCCTGGCTCCGTTATCCCGAGGGTGCCCTGGCTCCCGGCTCCGCTCCCCGCTGTCCCCGATCCCGCCTTCCCAGGGCGCTCTGGTTAATCCGGGCTCAGCCGGGCTGGGCCGGCCGTGTGTGACCGGCCCCGGGCTCTGCTCGGCAGCTCCCCCGGGAAGCGCCGCCGGGCCGCGGGGGAGGATCCACATATCCCTGGAAAACCGCGGAGGCTGCTGCTGGTATGGAGCGCCGGGTTGTCCGTAGCACCCGTGGGTTCTCCTGGAACAGCGTTAGGGATGTCAGCATTCCCTGGAATAACGCTTTGGCTTCTAGGGATTTCTAGGGATTTCACCCCTAGGTTTCTCTGGAATTCTGCTTGGGGCTGCCAGGATTCCCGGGAATCGCGTTTGGGGCTGCCAGGATTCCCTGGAATAGCACTTAGGGCTGTGGATTTCAGCTGTAAGTTTCCCTGGAATGATGTTTTGGGCTGCCAGGATTCCCTGGAATAGCACTTAGGGCTGTGGATTTCAGCTGTAAATTTCCCTGGAATTGCGTTTGGGGCTCCCAGGATTCCCTGGAATAGCACTTAGGGCTGTGGATGTCAGCTGTAAGTTTCCCTGGAATGATGTTTTGGGCTGTCAGGATTCCCTGGAATAGCACTTAGGGCTGTGGATTTCAGCTGTAAGTTTCCCTGGAATGATGTTTTGGGCTGTCAGGTTTCCCTGGAATAGCTCTTTGGACTCTCAGGATTCCCTGGAATAATGTTTTGGGTTCTGGATTTCAACAGTAGGTTTCCCTGGAAAAGTGCTTTGAGATGCCAGGATTCCCTGAAATTGCGTTTGGGGCTGTCAGGATTACCTGGAAAGATGTTTTGGGCTGTCAGGATTCCCTGAAATCGCGTTTGGGGCTGTCAGGTTTCCCTGGAATTCTGCTTTGGGCTGCCAGGATTCCCTGGAATCGCGGCTGGGGCTCTTGCAGCCGCAGCTCTCCCTGGAAGCGCCTCAGCCTGGCTGCTTCCCGCTTTTCCCGGTGGTTCTCCCAGTGCTCGCACAGAGCGAGACGCAGAGGGATGATTCCGCTAAAATTCCATTTAAATTCCACTGGAAATAAGGATAGGAACAGCCCGCACTGCTGGGAATGGGATTTGGCTGGACGGTTAAAAGCTGGGATTTTCCCAGAAAATCCTAAAGTTGGGATGGCAGCTGCTTTCCCAGGAACTGGGGAAAGCCCCTTCCGAGCTGACAGAAAATCAAGTTTATTTTCCATTTTTTCATTAAAAATGGAATCAGTCTGAATGGATAGAGAGAAAATAACTGCTAAAAGCTGTTTTTTTTATCGGAAAATAAGGGTTGGAATTTACCTGGGCGCTGGGAATGGGGGAGGAAAGATTAATGGGAGATTAAGGCAGGCTGGGAATGATGGAGGCAAAGATTATTTTAACTCTTGGTGGCTGCTGGGCTTTGAAGGGGAGATGAGGCCTTAAAACTTGAGTTTTTAAGGGTTTTTTTTTTGGTATTTTTAGGAATTTAAGGTTATATTTATGTGGTTTTTATGTTTTTTTTTTATTTTTAAATTTTTCCTCTTGTGCTGTACATTTGGTGTTTTGTACTATCAGTGAAACCAGACTTTAGGAAAATGCCACTATAAAAATCTGTCTTTCTCTAAAAATCTGTTTTTCTTGTGTAAAAACCTCATTTTCTTAAGAAAAACCCTCCTTTTTGGGTAAAAATCTGTTTTTCTTGTGTAAAAACCTCATTTTCTTAAGAAAAACCCTCCTTTTTGGGTAAAAATCTGTTTTTCTTGTGTAAAAACCTTTTTTTTTTTGAGTAAAACCCTCCTTTAATTGTGTAAAAAACTACTTCTCTTGTGAAAAGAAAAAAAAAGTGGTTTTCTTGTCTAAAAATCTGATTTTCTTGTGCAAAAAAAAAAATAGTTTTCTTGTCTAATAATCTGCTTTATTTGTGCAAAAAAAGGTGATTGTGTAAAAATCTGGGGGTTTTTTTGGGTCAAAATCTTTTTTTCTTATGTAAAAAGCTGCTTTTTTTTTAAGGATTTTTTTTTTCCCCAATTCAAGCCGGGAGGGGAGGGGCACGATCCCACACGGTTCTGGGGTTTTCTGGCTGTTCCCACCTTCTTCCCACCTGCTCCAGAAACAGCTCCTGCTTTTTGGGAGTGAGAGGTGCCAGAACTCTCCCTGCCACCTGCACCCCCAGAGTCCCATTCCACAGGAAAATTTGGGCTGCTTTAAATGTGGGAATGTGGGGAATGGGATGGAGTTACTTCCTCCTCGTGTTTCGTGGGATTTTGGGGGTGCAGGAATCAAACCCCACTGGTGGCTGACAGGAAGATCGTGGCTCATGGAGGAAATGTGGAATTGGCTGGAGAGAAGGAATTGGGAATCTCTCCTTTATTTCTTTTATGTTAGAAAATTCCAGAGGGTTTTGTCTGTCAGGTGAATCCAAGGAAAACTTTGCCTGGGAATGTGGGAGCATTGAGCTCCACATGGCTGTGCCTTTATGGACACGGAAAATAGGTTTGGGGTTTTTTATGCTTTATTTGGAAATCCCACAGAGTGGGAGCTGGTGAATCCCAACAAATCTGCTTCCCTGAAGGGCAGGAGATGAGGCAGGAATAAACCAGGGATGGACAGAGCAGATTCCAGTCCTTTTGTGGGGATGAGTTTGGAATGGGAGCCAGCGGGATTTAAACAATTTCTTAGTTGTCATACGGGGGCTTTTGGTGCTCAGAGATTTGGGTTCTCTCCTGATCCATTGGGTGGGAAAAAGGGAGGGAATTCTGCTCGGGCACAGCTCTGTGGGGCCACACTGTGCTCCATGGCTCCGTCAGATCCCAGAGTGCTGGAATGTCAGGGAAGGGACCCCCAGGATCCCTGATCCACCCCCACAGTCCCATTCCTGCAGCTCCCAGGCTGCCATTCCCTGATTTCCCTGCTCCTTAGGCCATTTGGGCTTTCTGCAGCGTTTCCTTGTGTTGGAGGAGCTGGAAAACTCCTCCAGGGTGGATGTGCCGAGCTGTCAGTGGCACTCAGTGCTTTGCATTTCCCTGGGATGTGGGAGATCTCCCAGCTCTGCAGTGGGAGCAAACAGAGGCAGCTGATCAGCCTTGAGGAGGCTCCTGCAAGGGGAGAAATCCTGGGAAAGGTGGAGGTTTGGGAGTGGGAGATGCCAGGGCTGCCTGGAAATGAGGGATCTGGGAAGTTGGTGAGCAAAGTGCTGCAATTTGCTTTTCTAGGTGGGCTGTGTTTGAGGGAAAAATCTGGAAGAAGCAGTGGGAGCAGGATTGTGAGCTTTTGACATATAGGAAAAGGAGTTGTCCTCCAGTAGTTACAGTTAATTCCCAAAATTTTGTTGTTCCAGAGGATCTGTGGCTGCTCCATCCCTGGAGATGTCCAGGGCTGAGTTGGATGGGGCTTGGAGCACCCTGGGATAGAGGAAGCTGTCCCTGCCCGTGCATTAATATCCCTTCCCATCCAAACCATTCCATGGTTCTGTGCTATTCCATTAAGATTTAGGGTTTTTAAAAATCTTTATTTGAATTAGCTGCAGCTTTGCAGTGCTTTGCACCAGCACAGCCCCAGGACTGTAAAGGAGGGAATCAACCCAGGTGAGCTCTTCCCAAATTTCCCACCTTTTCCAGGCCGAGGGGCTCTGGAGCTGCTGGGAGGGTGGAACTGGGGGAGCCTGGAGTTGTGTGGCTGTGCCTGAACAAAGGCCCCCCAAAGCCAGAGCAGCTTGTCCTCCCGAGGTCTGGGATGAGAGGAATTAATGAGGCTTTTCCACTTCAATTCCTGAGTCATGGGAATGAATTCCCAAGGGAAGAATGGGGCTATTAATAAATTTCAGGAGAGGAGAGAGGCAGAAAAAATGGAATTCTTAAAACACAAAACACTGCGTGGCTCTGACTAAAGGTACCTGATTGATTTTTTTTCCCCTCCTCCCCCCCACCTTTTTATTCCTTGCTAAATGTGCAAGAGCTTTCCTGGGTTGATCTTGGAGTTTGACAGTTCTGGCATTAAAAGTTCTTCCTTATCCATGAATTAATGAGCTGCTCATGGAATTAAATGATGATTTTTGGAGGGTGTGTTTTGTATTCAGATTTGCTTGGATCAGTGTAGCCCTAAAATCCAATTTTAAATTGGAGGGGGCGAGTTTCACATCTTCCTGGCCAAAATTTTTTTGTGGTGAATCCCAGGACAGCTGTGAGAAATAATCCTTTAATTTATCAGAGGGGGAGCTGGGAATTCTGCATCAGGATTCTACCTTTCTTAGGAGGAAAAATGTATTTGTGAGTGATTTAATTCCCACTTGGAATTTTCTCCCGGTGAACTTCTGAGCCCTGTGTGGCTCTGCCTGACCAGGGGAATCCTGGAAGCCTCAAACCCTTCTTGCTGTGGGGTTTTGGGGATGTTTCTCCCCCAAATTTCCTAAAAATTTCCTGAAAACTTCCAATTCTGCAGCCATGGGCTGGGTGCTCATGAGCAGGAGCATCCCTGAGTGTCAGGTGCTGCTTTAGATTTGCCAGCAGGGATTGAAACCTGGATGCAGTGCTCCTAAACCTCTGGAATTCTGCTCTCTGGGATCCGTGGCAGCAGGGATTGAAACCTGGGTGAAGTGCTCCTAACCCTCACGGCAAACAGGAGATTCCCTGGAAAAGTGGCAGTGGAAGGGCAGGAATTCACCTCTGGAGTGGGAGCAGGAGGTGATTCCGTCCACTCCCCGTCTCTGGGATGTGCCTGTGCTCTGAGGGCTCAGCAGGAAAACAAAACTCAGCCAAGGCGCTTTCCCACCCCCTCCGTGGGTAACTTCCCCCTCCACACTTGCAGAGGGATGTCAGGGAGAGGGGAGCAGGAGCTCTGCCCTCCAGGGAATTGGGGATAATCCGTGTGCCCGCAGATGAGGTCTGAGTCTCTGTTTGACCAGGGCAGCAGCACACACAGGCACAGATTCCCAGGGATGTGTTGGATTCCGTTTCCATGGCTGAGCTGCAGACAGAGCCCTGCTGAGCTCTCATCCCCTGGGAAAGCCAGGCTGGGGTTTGGGATGATTTTACTTCTCTTCTTCCATCCTTTTGCTGTTGCAGGGGACTGGAGGTGTCCTTGTCCTTCTCCTGTGGGAATGGGTTCCTGGAGGTGCTGGGAGCCCCTTGGAGCAGGGAAAGCAAACCCCTGGGAGTGATCCCAGAGCTCCTGCAGCCCGAGAAGCTGGGCTGGGCTCCCCAGCTGCCCATGCTGGATCTGCTGGACAAACTGGGGGGCACTGGGGGCTTGGGCAGACCCGGGTACCCAGGGCAGCATCCCCTGTGTTGCCAGGCAACTGCTGGATGTGCAGCTGGCTGGGGCTGCTGCAGATGTGGCCACATCTGGCAGGGGCAATCCCTGTCCCACCCCGAGCCTGCTCCTGCCCCACAGCTCGGGTTAAGCTGAGCTTTGCCAGGCCCAGCCCATGGAATCCCTCCTTAGGGGTCAGGGTGGCAGTAAAAGCAGTTTAGACTGGTAAAATGTTCAGCTCTGGCTGAGGTTTCATTCCATGGAAATGGGAAGGTTTGGGTTGGGAATATTGCTTCCCTGGTAGTAATTTGGATTTTGTGTCCTTCCTTAGCCAAGCACAGGGATGTGGGCAGTTGGGTTTGGTATTCCTGGGAATGCAGGTGGCCAAGGAAAGATGGAGTCTTGCAGGCTTGTGAGGTCACACTGGGGTCAGAGGAGTTCTGATGCTAATTAGGAAGATTTAATCACGTGCCAATGGACTCTAGAATTCCAACTCTGCTGAATCAGTCAAAGAGCTGGGTGAGAAACTGGACAGCTCCTCTGCTTTTCTTTGGGAATTTCCATGCCCAGGTTATTCCTGTCCTGCTGAGGATTAGGACACTTCATCCGTGATGAGCCTGAGGAGTGCCAGGGGATTAAGGAGCAGCTCAGGACTCTGCTGAGCCGGATTTACAGCAAGTGCCCATTTGGGAATGAAGGGCTTTGACCTCCTGGAACCAGGCCAGAAGGGCTGGCAGAGCTGGGAATGCTCCCCTGGAGAAGGGAAGGCTCCAGGCAGAGCTCAGAGCCCCTGGCAGGGCCTGCAGGGGCTCCAGGAGAGCTGCAGAGGGACTGGGGACAAGGATGGAGGGACAGGAGCCAGGGAATGGCTCCCACTGCCAGAGGGCAGGGATGGGTGGGACATTGGGAACTGGGAATTGCTGGCTGGGCTGGGATTGCCAGAGCAGCTGGGGCTGCCCTGGATCCCTGGAGTGTCCCAGGCCAGGAAGGAACACCCTGGGTGTCCCAGGAAATGCTGGCAGGTTCCTCAGTTTACCTCCTGTTTCCTACCCCAAATCCTGCTTTTCCTCCTCCCAGCCCTGCAGGCTTTGGGGCAGGAATTTCCCTCTGCCTTGCTGCAGGATAATGGGGTAAAATTTGGTTTATTCCAGGAATTGGCAGCTCAGAACCTCAGGACTTTTCCCTTCCTCCTCTTCCTCCAAAACTTCTTAGGGTGAATTTCAGTTAAAATAAATTTTATTTTTTGGGGAATGTTGTTCCTTTTGGAGGTTTGGAGGAGGGGATTTTATGGAATCACAGAATCCTGGGATGTTTTGGGGTAGGAGTGGCCTTAAAGCTCATCCCATTCCATGGGCAGGAAATCCTTACCTTATCCCAGATTGCTCCAGGCCCTTCCAGCCGTGGACATTCCTGGGATGGAGCATCCACAGTTTTGTTGGGAAATTTGGTTTTTTCATCCTCATTATTTCCCTGTAATGAAACTGCTCCCCGTGACCGCTGTGGAAATGGATTGTGTTACCCTGGAACAGCAATTCCTGGAATTTTAAATCCGTGTCCTGGGAATCCCTCAGCAGGCAGAGCCATTGGTTGATATTTAGGACAGATGGAAATTGTTATTAATGAGGAGTCCATGCAGAAATGCTGCAAGAATAATTAAATAAATCATTTATTTAATTTATTTAAATCATTCCAGCTCTTCCATCCCTTTGGCTCAGATGAAGATGAATTAAAATGGGATGGAAAATGGAAACATCCCACTTGGGAATGAGGAGCTGAGGTGGGGAGGATAAGGAAGTTAAAATGTGCATAAAACTGAGGAGGGCTTTTTAATTATAAGAAATTTCTCTGTGTTTTAGGAAATATGGAAAAGTGATGAGATTTTCTTCTCTTTTCTATTCCAGGCACTTGGAGAACTATCCAGTGGTTCAGTGCTGAGGGAATTCTGTGGGAGCATGGCTGGAGCAGGACACGGAGTCTGGGCACAGAATGCAGGCAGGGATGGTGAGTGGGGGTCTTTAATTACAGAGCTCTGATTACTGATTGCAGCCACAGGGATGAGCAAGGGATTCTGGAATGGTTTGGATGGGAAGGGACCTTAAATCCCCTCCCAGTCCACCCAGGGTGTTCCAGCCTGGCCTGGGCACTGCCAGGGATCCAGGGGCAGCCCCAGCTGCTCTGGCAATCCCAGCCCAGCCAGGAATTCCCAGTTCCCAATGTCCCACCCATCCCTGCCCTCTGGCAGTGGGAGCCATTCCCTGGCTCCTGTCCCTCCATCCTTGTCCCCAGTCCCTCTGCAGCTCTCCTGGAGCCCCTTCAGGCCCTGCCAGGGGCTCTGAGCTCTGCCTGGAGCCTTCCCTTCTCCAGGGGAGCATTCCCAGCTCTCCCAGCCTGGCTCCACCCTTGGGAGAACTGGGTATGGAGGCCTCACCTTTCGCATTGTTTTCCAAACTCCCGAATTCAGGCAGGAGCCCAAACCCTGGATCAGTGACTCTGGTGCCTTTTCCAAGGAATCTTAGGTGCTCACGAGGTGCAGTCCGAAATATTTTGTCAGGATAAAAATTCAGTATTGATAAATCTGCAATCATTATTTGAGGAAAAGGAATATTTCAGTGTCAGACAATGTTCAGTCCAAGGATGGCTATCCATGACTCCACGGGACTCTGCTTTTCCTCTGCCTGCAGCGTGCTGCTGCCTGCCCCGCCGGCTGCGTGCCGCGGGACTGTGACCCCGCCGAGCTCCGCAGCGGGTGCCAGGAGCCATGAGGAGGTTTGGCTACTGCCGGGTGGTGCTGGCCACCTCCCTGCTCTGGGTGCTGCTGGACGTGTTCCTGCTGCTCTACTTCAGCGAGTGCAACAAGTGCGATGAGAGCAAGGAGCGCTCGCTGCTGCCCGCCCTGCGCGGTGAGTGCCGCCCTGCCGCCGTGGTGGTTCACGAGAAATCCTCTGCTGGGGTTGTTCCCTCCCCAGGAGCTGGGGGCCTCGGGAAGGGAATGTGAACAGTAACTGTCTGCTGCTGTGGGATGCAGCTGCCATTGGTCCGTGTGGGTTGTTTTCACTTGATGTCATTCTCACCTGTGCTGAGGCTGTGAGCAGTGACAGGATTTTGTTATGTATTCCATTCCATCCTTGTTCTTCCAAGCCTTCTGATGATCTTTTCTCTCTGTTCTTTTAGTGTAGTTTTTATGTAGTATTTTAATATAATATATATCATAAGATAATAAACCAGCATTGTGGAAATGGAGTCAAGCCTCACATCTCCACACATGGGGAGTTCCCAACACTGCTGCAGCCCCTCCTGGCTGATCTTCTCATGGTTTGCTGTGTTTGCCCTCATGTGGCTGTCTCAAAATAGCTTTTCCCAGCAGAGGAAGTCTCAGGATCTGCAAGATCTAATGCTGCTTTGGTGTTGTCTCAGTTTGTGTTTGTGTTTTATGGGATGATTTGGGTTAAAATGGACCTTAAATCCCATTGCAGGGGGAGGGAAACCTCCCACTGTCCCAGGCTGCTCCAAGCCCTGTCCAGCCTGGCCTGGGACATTGCAGGGATCCAGGGACAGCCCCAGCTGCTCTGTGAGGGTGCCCAGAGAGGCTGTGCATGCCCCTGGATCTATGGAAGTGTCCAAGGCCAGCTTGGACAGGGCTTGGAGCAGCCTGGGATAGTGGAAAGGAACCAATGCAGGGTGTCCAATCATCTTGGAATAAAACTGGGTGCTCTTGCATCCAGAGAGGGATGAAAGCTCCCAGTGGAGCAGGGAGAATGGGGTTGAATTTCCAGCATTCCTTGTGGAAAACCAGCAGCTTCCCTAAGGACAAATCCCGTTCCCAGGTGCTCAAAGCACCTTTTGCTGTTGGGTTTTGCAGCCGTTATTTCCCGGAACCAGGAGGGCCCGGGGGAGATGGGCAGGGCCGTGCTCATCCCCAGGGAGGAGCAGGAGAAGATGAAGGAGCTGTTCAAGATCAACCAGTTCAACCTGCTGGCCAGCGACCGCATCGCGCTGAACCGCAGCCTGCCCGACGTGCGGCTGGACGGGTGAGGGCTGCCTGGGAATGGGCTGGGAATGGGGCTGGGAATGGGGCTGGAGCCCGTCCTGCCCTGGGAATGGGGTTGGGAATGGGGCTGGATCCTGTCCTGGGCTGGGAATGGGGCTGGGAATGGGCTGGGAATGGGGCTGGGAATGGGGCTGGAGCCCATCCTGCCCTGGGAATGGGGCTGGGAATGGGGCTGGAGCCCGTCCTGCCCTGGGAATGGGGCTGGAGCCCGTCCTGCCCTGGGAATGGGGCTGGAATCCCATCCTGGGCTGGGAGTGGGGCTGAATCCCGTCCTGGGAATGGGGGCTGGTGGAGGCTGGGGGCTGAAATCCCATCCATCCCGGCCCTGCTGTGGCAGGGATACCTCCCACCATCCCAGGCTGCTACAGGGATCCCAGCTGCTCTGGCAATCCCAGCCCAGCCAGGAATTCCCAGTTCCCAGTGTCCCACCCATCCCTGCCCTCTGGCAGTGGGAGCCATTCCCTGGCTCCTGTCCCTCCATCCTTGTCCCCAGTCCCTCTGCAGCTCTCCTGGAGCCCCTGCAGGCCCTGCCCTGGGGCTGGTGGTTTCATTCCAGCTGATCCATGGGATCTCATACAGAGTTTCATTTCCTTCCCGTTCCATCCTGGGTTTTCTGTCAAGGAATGTCCCTGGATTTCCAGGGTCCTGTTGGAAATGGCTGAGCTGGAGATTTTAATCAGAGCCAGCTCTAATTAGGAGCTATTGATAGACCTTAAACCCAGCTTAACTCACCAGGGAAATGCCTCATTTCACTCCCAAGGATTTTCTCCAGCAAGGGAAGAAATCCATCCTCAATCTTTTCTGGATGAGTGAGGCTGCAAGTGCCATTCCATGGATTGCTGGAGCATCCTAATTGGATTTTCTCCTGGAGATTGCAGCTGGAATTGGCTCCTGGGTGTGTTCCAGTGCTTGGGAACATCCAGGGCTGAGCAGAAACACTGGGATTTCTGGAACAGCAGCCAGGGTTAAACATGGAGCTGGAGTTCTGTGGGGATTCTCCAAAGAACAAAACACTGGGGTGTGATCCTGGGTGGGGGAAAGGGCTTGGGAAGGAGCAGTGGCAATGGATGTGTGGGAAAACTCCCTTTAATTGGGAAAATCCATCCCTCAGATGCGTGTTTCAGGGCAGGAATTCTTGATTGCATTTTGAGGCGAGACCAAAATTTGCTATTCCTGAAATTCAGCCCTCAGGGGAGGGAAAACTGGTTCATTTTGGGATAGCCACACCTGACGCATTTGTTTTGCACCAGGACCTGTTGGATTTGGGGTTTTTTCCCAGTTTTAAGTCGTAGTGGATAAAAAATTCCCTCCTTGGAGGGTGGGGAGGTGCTGGCCCAGCTTTCCAGGAGAGCTGAGGCTGCCCTGGATCCCTGGCAGTGCCCAAGGCCAGCTGGGACAGTGGGAGTGTCCCTGGGATGGGATTTTGGGTCCCTTCCCATCCATCCCATCCTGGGAATCTCCGATCCCCTGGGTGAGTGACGGCAGTTCTGTCACTCCCTGGAGTATCCTTGAGTGCTGGGATGTTTGTCGTGGCCATGGGCACCCTGGGATTGTTGCAGGTCTCCTTTATTCCGAGGACATGTGAACATTTCCCTTCCAGAAGCACAGTCCTTGTCCTCCCTTCCACGTTTTCCACGTGGGCTGCAGCTGCCTTTGGAGCAGCCGTTTGCATGGGAGATATAATTGGAAAAGAGGAGCTGTCAGCTCCTTAATTAGTGTGGAAATCATGGAAAACAGATTTTCCTCCCTGGCAGCCTCGGAGGGGCCCCCAAGACATCCCCGGATGGAGGAGAAAACAGGTTTTATTTAAGGAAAACTGTTGCAAAGGGGATTTTTTATTTCCTTTATTCCTGGTTTCAAGGGGCTTGGAATTGCAGGAAATGCAGGAGCAGTTTGGGTAGAAGCCCAGATAAACTCAGGGTTATTTTGCAGGGATTTTTTTTTTCCAAGGGTGAATTTTCAGGCTGCCTGGGAAGGGCCCTCACCTCCTTCCCGTGGTATCTCCTCCCAGAGAATGTGCAGGAAATCTGGGATCCCCCTTTCCCACAGACCTCTGGAAATGGGATTTGGGGGGGGATTTGAAGGCTTTGGTGTGCATGGATTAACTTTGAAAAACCCATGGCTGTTTCCCATTTTTAAAGGATGTGCAGGTGCCCCACATTGCTGGCTTTCCCAGGAATACCCTCAATATTGGAATGGTGCTTGGGTGCAACATTCCTGGTGGATCAGTGCTGGGTGAGCGCTGCCTTTCCTTGGCAGCTCGTCCCAGGACGTTCACAGTGTGCTCCAGACCTCCCTGGAGCCAGGGACAGCCTGGGAATGGCTGCACCTGGAATTCCTGATTGAACAGCTCAGGGCTGGAGTCAACCCTGGGCTTGAGCTGGGTCCTTGCTGGGAATGTCAGGAATGGGAGAGTGAGATGAGCCCCTTCTCCAGCCTGTGTCATGCCCAGGGCAGCTGGAATTCCAGTCTCTGGTCTCCAGTTCATTCCTTAGTTCATCCCATCAGCTTGAAATGTGGCAAGTTCCCCTTGGAGCAGTGCTATGGCTGCTTCCAGGCCCCTTTTCCATCCTGCCTCAGCCCCAGAGCCACTGGAATTCCAGTCTCTGGATCTCTACTTTGCCTCCTTAATTTATTCCTATCATTTTGAACCACCTGGATGTGGAAGCTGCCCCTTGGAGCAGTGCTATGGCTGCTTCCAGGCCCCTTTTCCATCCTGCCTCAGCCCCAGAGCCACTGCAATTCCAGTCTCTGGGTCTCCACTTGGCTCCCTTAATTCATCCCCACCATCCTGGGCTATCTGGATGTGGAACCTCCCCCTTGGAGCAGAGCCACGGCTGCTTCCAGGCCCCTTTTCCATTCACCTTTTCCATTCAGAGCCACTGGAATTGCAGTCTGTGGGTGTCCACTTTTCCCCTTAATTCATCCCCACCCCTGAAGTGGCAGCAGTGCCGTGGTGCCTTCCAAGCCCCTTTCCCACACCAGGAGGACACAGATCCCCTCGGGGCTGTCCCTCCCTCGTCCTGAGCCCCCTTTCCCCGTTTGCCGGGTGTTTTTGGGCAGGTGCAAGAGCAAGGTGTACCCGGAGGAGCTGCCCAACACCAGCGTGGTGATCGTGTTCCACAACGAGGCGTGGAGCACGCTGCTCAGGACCATCCACAGCGTGCTGGAGCGCTCCCCGCCGCGCCTGCTGGCCGAGATCGTCCTGGTGGATGACGCCAGCGAGAGAGGTGCCACAGCTCCCGTCCCAGGCTCCATCCCCCAGGGGCTCCTGCAGCTCTGGGAGGGCTGGCAGGGTGGCTCACACCCGGCTCGGCATGGAGGGATCCAGAGGGAGTGGGGAGAGGGGGGTGGGAAAAATTCACGGAGTGCCAGGGTGGTTTGGCTTGGAGGAGAGCTTTAAAGGGCACCTAATCCAGCCCCTCACCATGGCAGGGACACCTCCCACCATCCCAGTTGTCCAGCCTGGCCTTGGGCACTGCCAGGGATCCAGGGGCAGCCCCAGCTGCTCTGGCAATCCCAGCCCAGCCAGGAATTCCCAGTTCCCAATGTCCCACCCATCCCTGCCCTCTGGCAGTGGGAGCCATTCCCTGGCTCCTGTCCCTCCATCCTTGTCCCCAGTCCCTCTGCAGCTCTCCTGGAGCCCCTTCAGGCCCTGGATCAGGTCCAGCTCAGTTCATTTGATATTCCTGGTAAGGTGAATCCTTTCCTTCCTGTCTCTCCACCCTCCTCATTCCACGTTTCAGATCTTCCTGAATATCCCCACGAAGTCAATTCCATGGAATCCCAGAGTGCTTTGGGTTGGAAGGGACCATCTCATTCCAGCTCTGCCTTTATTGTTCCTCTTTGTGCTTTGTTTCCTGCGTTCTTCACTCTTTTATTTTCTGTTTTGACCCCAGACTTCAAAAAGCAATCTCTGCCTATGGAACTGGGGCTCCCTGGAAAAGGAATCCCAACAAGTTCCTTAAATGGAATCAATGGAATGAGAAAGAATCCTGGAGCAGCCCAATGGCAAACTCAGCCCTGCAGCCGCTCCATCCTTCAGTTCTGCCCCATGGAGCATTAATTGAACCCTAATTACTGCCTGGATTTCCCTGTTCATTAAGTGGCTTAATGGTTCCCTGTGCCAGAAGGTGGAGGAGGATTTGAGCCAAGTAATTCCCATTTTTCCTAAGAGCGTGCAAAAACCTCCAATGTGGAAATCCATCCAAAAAAATCCTTTTTTTTTTTTTTAAATTGAACAGCAGCAAATTGCCCAAAGTGTCTTTGTTTTGTGGTTGCTGGTTCATTCCAAGGAGCTGCTTGTGCTGTATTTAAAATTCCCGAGATATTATCCTGGAATCAGGGAATGGCTTGGCTTGGAAGGGACCTTAAAGCCCACCCCCAGGAGATGCTCCAAGCAGGGAGGTCCTGTGAATAAAACCTCCCTAAAAATCCCGTTTTCCTTCTGTTCCCCCCAATTCTGGCAGAGTTCCTGAAGGCCTCCCTGGAGAACTACGTGAGGAAGCTGGAGGTGCCCGTGCGGATCCTGCGCATGGAGCAGAGGTCGGGGCTGATCCGGGCACGGCTCCGAGGGGCAGCAGCTGCCAGGGGCCAGGTGATCACATTCCTGGATGCCCACTGCGAGTGCACCCTGGGCTGGCTGGAGCCGCTGCTGGCCAGGATCAAGGAGGACAGGTGAGCAATTCCTGCCTCCAGAGGCAGGGATCTGCTCCAGGCCCTTCCCTGGCTGCTGGAAATGGGAGTGAAAAGGATTCACGGAGCTGGAATGAAGAGAACATGGAATATTTTTTGAATTCGCTGCTGTTTGTGTCAAAATCTCGTTCCTGAATAAATGTGGGAGCAGCTTTCCCAAGGTCTGGATCTCTCCCATTCAAAGGGAGCTTTCTCCCTGGTTTTTACCTGGAGCAACTTCTCTCTCTGACCCCCTGAACTCACGTAAATTTGAACCCTTTTTATTCCTTCTCTTGTCTTGTTTTCCCTTTTTTCACCCTTTTCCCCATCCTTTTTTTTCCATTTCCCCTCTTTCCCTCCCCTTTTCCCTCCTTTTTTCCTTCTTCCCCTGCTTCCCCCCTTTCCCCCCTTCCTTCTTTCCCTCCATTTCCCTCTTCCCCCTGATTTTCCACATTATTCTCCTTTTCCTTTTTCCCCTTCCTCCCTTTTCCTTCTTTCCTTCTTCCTTCCCTTTGCTCCCTTTCCCCTTCTCCCTTTTCCTTCCTTTTTTTCCCTTTCCCCCCTTTTTTCCCTCCTTTACTCTGTTTTCCCTTCCCCCCTTTTCTTTCCCTTTTCTTTTTTCCCCTTTCTTCTCCCTCCTTCTCTTCCTTTTCACCCTTCCCCCCTTTTCCCTCCTCTTTTCCTCCCTTTCCACCTTTTCCTTTTCTTTTTCCCCTCCTCTTTTCCCCCTTCCCTCCTCTTTTCCCTTTCTCCCTCATCTTATTTCCCCTTTTCTCCCCTTTCCCCCCTCTTTTCCTCCATTCCTCACCCTGCCCCACCTTTCCTTCTTTTTCTTCCTTTCTTCCCCCTCTCTTTTCCCCTTTTCCTTCATTTTATTCCCCCTTTTTCTCCCCCCTTTTCCCTCCTCTTTTCCTCCCATTCCTCACCCTTTCCCACCTTTTTCCTTCTTTTTCCTCCTTTCTTCCCCTCTTCCCTCCTGCTTTTCCCCTTCTCCCTCATTTTACCCCCCTTCCCTCCCTCCCTCCCCTGCACCTCCCACGGTGCCCAAACCCCCCCGTAACCCCCAAATTCCCATTTTTCCCCCCAGGAAAACCGTGGTGTGTCCCATCATCGACGTGATCAGCGACGACACCTTCGAGTACATGGCGGGCTCGGACATGACCTACGGGGGCTTCAACTGGAAGCTGAATTTCCGCTGGTACCCCGTGCCCCAGCGGGAGATGGAGCGCAGGAAGGGGGACAGGACCCTGCCCGTCAGGTCAGCGCCCCTCTTCTCCCAAAAACCCCCCCAGATCCCAGCATTCCGCCGCGGGAACGGAGGCAGAATGGCAGGGAAAGCCCAAACCCTGGCACGGCCTCGCTGCTGCTGCCTTGGGCCAACCCCATCCCATCCTCTTCCCAATGAATTCCAAAGGGGTTCCAAAGATTTAGGAATTCCAAAGATTCCTGCCTGTTCAGCTCCCTCTGTTCATTTGCTGCAAACAGATTTTTAGTCCCATTTTTTTGGAATTTAAGGCAAGATATTCCAAAGGATTTCTGAGCATTTCTGAGCTTCGATTCGCACTTAACCACATCCCATGCACTTCCCAACATCCAGAAATTCCAAAGATTTCTGCCTGTTGATCTCCCTCTGTTCATTTGCTCTTAATGGATTTTTATTCCTGTTTTTTTTGGGGATTTAAGGCAGATATTGCAAAGGATTTCTGAGCATTTCTGAGCTTCGATTCGCACTTAACCCTATCCCATCCTCCCCCAAATGTTCAGGAATTCCAAAGATTTCTGCTTCTTCATCTCCAGGGTTCAGGAATTCCAGATTTCTGCCTGTTGAACTCCCTCTGTTCATTTGCTGTTAATGGATTTTTATTCCTGTTTTTTCTGGGGATTTAAGGCAGATATTGCAAAGGATTTCTGAGCATTTCTGAGCTTCGATTCGCACTTAACCCTATCCCATCCTCCCCCAAATGTTCAGGAATTCCAAAGATTTCTGCTTCTTCATCTCCAGTGTTCAGGAATTCCAGATTTCTGCCTGTTGATCTCCCTCTGTTCATTTGCTGTTAATGGATTTTTATTCCTGGTTTTTTTTGGGATTTAAGGCAGATATTCCAAAGGATTTCTGAACATTTTTGAGCTTTGAACCCCAGTGATTTGCACTTAACCCCATCCTGTTCTCTTCCAAATGTTCAGGAATGCCAAAGATTTCTGCCTGTTTAGCTCCCTCTGTTAATTTGCTGCAAACAGATTTTTAATCCCTTTTTTTTTTTTTTAATTTAAGGCAGATATTCCAAAGGATTTCTGAGCATTTTTGAGCTTCTATTTGCACTTAACCCTATCCCATCCTCTCCCAAATGTTCAGGAATTCAAAGGATTCCTGCCTGTTCAGCTCCCTTTGTTAATTTGCTGCAAACAGATTTTTAGTCCCATTTTTTCAGAATTTAAGGCAGATATTGCAAAGGATTTCTGAGCATTTTTGAGCTTTGAACCCGAGTGATTTGCACTTAAATTCCTGGTTTATTGCTTGGAAAATGGGATTGAGAACGGAGCACCCTGAGGGAAAAATGATCCAAGAGCGTGTCCTGACCTCTTCCATCTAATTGCTGGAATCACAGAGTGGAACAAAACCTCTTCCAAAATTGCAAATGGAGCTGAAAAGGGAACAAATGGAATAAATTCCTGGCCATGGGATGTTTGCTCAGCTGCAGTGGCTGCTGGGGCTTCCTGCAAAATTCCAAAAGAGACCAAAAAAGGGCTCCCGAGTGGATGGAATTGGTTTAAATCTGGGAAGGGGGAAGAACTCCAAGCCTGCAGGTGGAGGGAGGGGCAGCTCAGGCATCAACCCAGGCAAGGAAGGGATGGAAGGGCAGGAAAGACCTTCCAAAATTGCTTTCAGAATTCCCATGTCTGTCCCTGATTGTCCTGGCAAGGCTGGAATGGGGGAAGGGCGGATTTGGGGTTTATTCCCAGGATTTGGGGTTTATTCCCAGGAAAAGCAAGGTTTCCTGTTTTCCTCCTGATCCAAAATCTCCTCTCCGGGCCAGCAGCTCTTGATTAAAACTCAGGTGTGCATGGAAATTGGGAAAATTAATTATCCTAACGAGCTGCAGGGCCTTGCTGAGCTCCAGCCATCCATCCATCCTTATTTCCTTACCTTGAAATGGAGCAGGGCTCAAAATTAATCCCAGCTCACACACTGAATGGACCCTTAAAATTGATAAAGCAAAAAAAATGGGATTTGTTGAATTCCTTTATTTTCTCCATCAGTTTTTGGCTGGAATTTTGGGGGATTCTCTGGATAAAATGGGAGTTGGGAAGCAAGGGGGGCAGAGGGACAGATGTCACCTGTGCCATGGTTGTCACAAAGGGCTGAGAGTGAAGGGTTGTACTTTAGGCTGGATTAAGTTCAAAATCTCAGGTTTCAGTCCAGGAATTTCAGTCTTTGGTGTCAGAGAATCCCAAAATCATGGGCATTTCCAGGCCTGGCACAGCCCATTTTTGTGGATATTTCCATGCTTTTCCATCAGTTTTCAGAGCTGAAGGCACTCCAGACTGGGATTAGAAGTACTAAAAATATGGATTGTGGTCCAGGAAATGTTTTGTATAAGTTAGGGATTGAGAGGGAAAATATAGGATCAAATCCTAGGAAAAAGGCAAGATCAAAAAATAAAGAAAAGGCAAGATTAAATATCAGGAGTGTGTTAGGATCATGGATTTCCTGAGCTGGAAGGGACCCACAAGGATCATCAATCCAACCCCTGGCCCTGCAAGACATCCCAAAAATCCCCCCCTATGCCTGGGAACATTTTCCAAATGCTCCTGGAACTCTGGATATTATTAATATATTACTTATTATCTTGATATTATATTAATATCTTGATTATGAATAATTACTCTTAGAGTTGATTGCAGTTAATTAACCCTGCCTGGGTGATGAGCAGCAGGGATTGATGTTGATCCTGGTGCCAGTCCTTTATTCCCAGATATGCCCACTGGGGACTGGTTTAGTGGGATTTTGTGCTCTGGGATTGATGTTGATCCTGGGGCCAGTCCTTTATTCCCAGATATGCCCACTGGGGACTGGTTTAGTGGGATTTTGTGCTCTGGGATTGATGTTGATCCTGGGGCCAGTCCTTTATTCCCAGATATGCCCACTGTGGTCTGGTTTAGTGGGATTTTGTGCTGCTGGAGCCCTGCCCCTGATGGGATTCCTTGGGAAAAGCAGGATGAGGTGATGCCATGGGGGAGCTCCAGTCTGGAGTCCTTTGCCAGCCCTCTTCCTCCCCCATCATGGGATCCTGGGCTGGGCTGTGGCTTTGCTGGGATGCAGCAATCCTGGGATTGCTCCGTGTTGTCTGTGCAGGAATGGGAGTCCTGCTGCTGCAGGAATGGGCAGCAGGTGTTGCTTCCCAAATAAAACAGGATCAGGTGATGATGAGAGTCAATCCCAGCAATCCCCAGGAGCTGTCAGGTGATTCCACAAGGAAAAAGATGCAGAACTGAGGAAAAAATTAGTTTTTACAGTTAAAAAATCACTTTAAGGCCTTTGATCTTCCCGATATTTTTGGGTTTTCCGAGGAAAGCCCTGCAGCTCTGGTTGTGTCCTATTAAATTCACATCCCAGGGAGCAGTCCTGCCTGCTGCACCCCCCTTATCCCAGGGGCTGGGCTGGGGATCAGGACACGAGTTACTGAATTGTCCAGAGTGAAACTCAGTACTCCCAGCGTTGTCAGGCAGGGGTTTGGGACGTGATTGGTTTCAGAAAGCAAAGGACATTTGGGGTCCTTAGCAAGAATCCAGGTCTGTGTCTCCATTTCAGTTTCATCCTTCAAATTTTGCTTAAGGCTCTGTCTTGGAAAAAAATGGGGAATTTTGTATCAAGCAAAGAGTGTCTCCAGCCAGGGGGAGGAAGAAGGAGGAAAGAGAATGTTTGGATTGGGAAGGACCTTAAATCCCATCCCATTTCACCCAGGGACACTCCCACTGTCCCAGGTGCTCCAAGCCCTATCCAGCCTGGCCTGGGACACTCCAGGGATCCAGGGGCAGCCCCAGCTGCTCTGGCAATCCCAGCCCAGCCAGGAATTCCCAGTTCCCAATGTCCCACCCATCCCTGCCCTCTGGCAGTGGGAGCCATTCCCTGGCTCCTGTCCCTCCATCCTTGTCCCCAGCCCCTCTGCAGCTCTCCTGGAGCCCCTGCAGGCCCTGCCAGGGGCTCTGGTTTAGTGGGATTTTGTGCTGCTGGAGCCCTGCCCCTGATGGGATTCCTTGGGAAAAGCAGGATGAGGTGATGCCATGGGGGAGCTCCCGTCTGGAATCCTTTGCCAGCCCTCTTCCTCCCCCATCATGGGATCCCGGGCTGGGCTGTGGCTTTGCTGGGATGCAGCAATCCTGGGATTGCTCCGTGTTGTCTGTGCAGGAATGGGAGTCCTGCTGCTGCAGGAATGGGCAGCAGGTGTTGCTTCCCAAATAAAACAGGATCAGGTGATGATGAGAGTCAATCCCAGCAATCCCCAGGAGCTGTCAGGTGATTCCACAAGGAAAAAGATGCAGAACTGAGGAAAAAATTAGTTTTTACAGTTAAAAAATCACTTTAAGGCCTTTGATCTTCCCGATATTTTTGGGTTTTCCGAGGAAAGCCCTGCAGCTCTGGTTGTGTCCTATTAAATTCACATCCCAGGGAGCAGTCCTGCCTGCTGCACCCCCCTTATCCCAGGGGCTGGGCTGGGGATCAGGACACGAGTTACTGAATTGTCCAGAGTGAAACTCAGCACTCCCAGGGTTGTCAAGCAGGGAAGTGATTGGTTTCAGAAAGCAAAGGACATTTGGGGTCCTTAGCAAGAATCCAGGTCTGTGTCTCCATTTCAGTTTCATCCTTCAAATTTTGCTTAAGGCTCTGTCTTGGAAAAAAATGGGGAATTTTGTATCAAGCAAAGAGTGTCTCCACCCAGGGGGAGGAAGAAGGAGGAAAGAGAATGTTTGGATTGGGAAGGACCTTAAATCCCATCCCATTTCACCCAGGGACACTCCCACTGTCCCAGGTGCTCCAAGCCCTATCCAGCCTGGCCTGGGACACTCCAGGGATCCAGGGGCAGCCCCAGCTGCTCTGGCAATCCCAGCCCAGCCAGGAATTCCCAGTTCCCAATGTCCCACCCATCCCTGCCCTCTGGCAGTGGGAGCCATTCCCTGGCTCCTGTCCCTCCATCCTTGTCCCCAGTCCCTCTGCAGCTCTCCTGGAGCCCCTGCAGGCCCTGCCAGGGGCTCTGAGCTCTGCCTGGAGCCTTCCCTTCTCCAGGGGAGCATTCCCAGCTCTCCCAGCCTGGCTCCAGAGGGCTCCAGCCCTGCAGCAGCTCCAGAGCCTCCTCCCAAGGCTCACTCCCCCAAATCCCACAGTTTTAGGGCTGCTGGGACCTCAGCAGAGGGGCTGGGATCAGCTGAGCCCCCAGACCCCTTTGGCTGTGCTGGGACATCTCAGAGGAAAGCTGGGATTTGGGATTGAGTTGTTCCCTCCCAAATGGATCCCTGTGCTCCCAGCAGCGGGGCTGGGCTTTCCTGTGGCTTTTCCATTTCCAGGGAAATCGGCCATCCCCACGCAGAGCCCTGGGACTGCCTGTGGGGAGGAGCTCCAATCCTCTTAGCTGGGATTGTCCTGCTCCTGTGATGCCCTTTTGGGCTCCCTCGGAGGCAAAGCCCAGCCATGAAACTCCTCCCAAATCCATTCCCGATTGGATCTGAGCTGCTGCTCCCTCAGGAGGCCCAAATCCCACCCAATTCACCCTGACAATTCCCCTGAAATAATCCATGGGAATGGGAGCAGCCCTGGGGTCCCTGTGGCTGGGCCCAAATCCGTGGATTTTGGGGAAGAGCAGGGAAATCCAGTTAAAATTGTCTTTATTGCTCCTTGGGGTGTGGCTGGGTCTGAGAGCCATAGATTTTGGGGAAGAGCAGGGAAAATCCAGTTCAAATTCTCCTTTTCTAGTTGTTTTCCATAGAATTCCTGTGTAGTGAAATGTGCTGCAAATTCCAGAGTGTCCTTTAAAAGGTCTTTTTTCTTTTTTCTTTTCTCTTTCCTTCCCCCCCTTTTTTTTTTTTTCTTTTCTGTTTTCCTTTGTTTTTTCCCTGTTTGTTTCCCACCCAGGACCCCAACTATGGCTGGTGGCCTGTTTTCTATTGACAGGAACTACTTTGAAGAGATAGGAACTTACGATGCAGGAATGGATATCTGGGGTGGCGAGAATCTTGAAATGTCCTTTAGGGTAATTCCTGTTTTCCTTCCTTTTCTTTTCCCCCCAAAATAACATCCCCCATTTGTGCTGCCATTCCTTCAGGGAGCTCCTGCTTTAGCTGGCCTGCAAGTCATGAGTTAAATGGAATTTTTAAAATTTGGGGCAACCTCGTGGGGTGTTTTGGGATTTTTTGCTGCATGGAATATTTTAGTATTGAGGGTTTTATCCCTCCAAAATTCCATATATTTTAGGCATTCCTTCATGGAAAAAACGAGGTGCCCAGTGGAAATTTGATATGAATTTATGTTAAAAAATAAAATTATAAAAACATTTTAAGACATTTTGGGAACGGTGACATCATGGACTTGCATGTTCCGGCTGGAATTCTGGGTGTGTGCCAGGGAAATTCCTATCCTGCAGAAAATGCTGGTGTTCCTGCTGGGGTAGGGGCAAACCACACCTCAGGGAAGTGCATCCAGGACTGCCTTTGGATAGGAAATGGGGAAGTGGGAGGCTTGGCTGAGGAATGGCTGGAAGGGGTGTTGGGAATGCCTTTGGACTCCCCTGAGTTTCTGGATTTAGTGATGGGAACAACCCCCAGGATCCCTCTGGTGCCCACAGCTCATCCTGGCAATGCCCTTTCCCCCTTTTCCTCTCTTTTCCATTCAGCCAGGACCCTTTTCCTTGCCAGGGATCCCTCTGAAGTTTTTTAGGGAAGAGACTTTCCGGGGAAGACCAGCTGGGAGTGTGAAAGCTTTCCCAGGCCATTCCTCTGAACTGTAATTGTTCCCTTTGCAGGAAAAACAAAAGGTTCGGTTCCCCTCCTGAGCCTGGATGCTTCCAATGGGGAGATTCCCACTTTTTTTGCTGCTTTAACCCGTAAAATTCCTCCTGGGGTGTGCCAAGCCCCCGTGCAGGAATTATTTTCCATGTTTTTCCATGTTCGACAGGAGATCCCTGGAGCAGGGAGTGCCAGGCACTGTTAAAGCATTCCAAATGTGCCTTTCCCACCCTAAACCAGTGAGTTAATGGGGTCAGGGACAGGAATAAATGGAGATATTGCCATGGGAAGGCTGGGGAGTCACCTGGTGCTGTTTATTTGGATTAATTAGAGCCTCTGGAAGGAAAACCGACTGAAAATCCAGGGATATTTTGTGTGACTTTATCAGGGACATCAAAGGGTTCAAACCCCAGCTGAGGGAACAAATCCATGGGAAAATGAGGGCCAGGGGAGCGGAAGGATCAGGGAGGTTCCTCCAGCTCCAAAGCTGCCCTGTGCAGTGGGATTTGGGAATATCTCCTGTCAGGGAAACTCTGGGAGCAGTTCCTGCTGTGGGATTGGAGTGAGGCACAGGCTGTTCCTGGAGCTCTTCTTACACCCAGGACTGGATCACCAAAGGGAGGGAGGAGATTTGGGGTTGGTTCAGAATAATAAAATAAATCCCAAAAAATAAAATGAACCCAGCCCTTTCCCTCCTTACATTGCGAATTCCTGAATCCTCAGAAATGTGACCCAGTGCCTTTGCTTTCCCTGGATCATGTCTGTCTCATCTGCATCCAGCTCCAACATTATCCCAAGGAATAATTAAAAGGATTTCCAGGTTTTTTGCTCTCAGGGGCATTTCCAGGAGCAGCATCCATGGGGTATAATTTGATTATTTTGGGAAAATCCATGTTTTTTCTTTTAGATGCTTCTTGTTGCTGATGGGTCTTTAATGACTCCTTTTAGGAATGCCTTTTAATTAGGGAAAAATAATGATAACTCCTGGCAGGAATCTCTTACAGCTCCAAGGGTTTGCTTTAGTCAAGGAAAACCTGATGTATTCATAAACTTTGTTTTTATTTATGAAATTACTGAAACTTTTAGTTTTGTGTTAAATTCTCCAAGTGGTTTTATCCCACTTGGAGAATGCCTTGAAAACCTGATGCTCTGAAAGGATTTCCTATGGCTTTGGAAAGGGAATTTAAAATTATCTGTCCATCAAAAAAAAATCCTATGAGATTATTCCTTAGTATAATCCAGGCAGGGTGGGACAGGGAATGTGAGCTCTGAGCAGGGTAGGGCGGGGTTTATTTGGGATTTCTGGCACTGCTGGAAGTGCAGAAAGGACAGGGAGAAGGGGATTTCTTCAGGGATGTGACAGTGGAGTTGTTCTGATCTCCGGAATTCCTGCTTGGGTGCTGTGGGAATTGCGACAGGAAAGGGTAAGGAGCAGGAAGGGTTAATTCCTTCAGAAGCCAGTCAGAATCCTGGCTCTGGAGCCAGGCTGGGAGAGCTGGGAATGCTCCCCTGGAGAAGGGAAGGCTCCAGGCAGAGCTCAGAGCCCCTGGCAGGGCCTGCAGGGGCTCCAGGAGAGCTGCAGAGGGACTGGGGACAAGGATGGAGGGACAGGAGCCAGGGAATGGCTCCCACTGCCAGAGGGCAGGGATGGGTGGGACATTGGGAACTGGGAATTCCTGGCTGGGCTGGGATTGCCAGAGCAGCTGGGGCTGCCCCTGGATCCCTGGCAGTGCCCAAGGCCAGGCTGGACCCCCTGGGACAGTGGGAGGGGTCCCCATATGGATTGGGATGGGATTTAATGCCCTTCCAACCCAAAGCATTCCAGAATTCCCTGGGTCCCTGGGGTCCCAGCAATGAGGGATGAAAGCATTCCATAGTCTGTGAGGGGAGCAGATCCCTGAGACCCCACAATTCTCAACCAGGATGGGAACTTTTGGGAAGCAGTCACATTCCCAGGGAGGGTCCCAGGAGGTTGATTTGTTGGGATTTTAAAACAACATTAAAGACTTCCTTTTGCTAAGAAAAGGGTGCAAGTTCCCCCACATCCCATCCCAGCTGGCACAGGGAGCAGATTGCTCCAAGGAGAGCCAAAAAGGGGCTGGAAAAGTGTCCAGGAGGAGAGGTTTTAAAAAATGGTGGTGTGGGAGGAATTCCCTGCCAGCTGGAATGGGAAACCAGCAGGGGAATGCTGGGATTTGGGATGGAGGGTGCCTCAAACTGTGTGTCCTCCTTCCTGGTGTGTCCAGGTATTCCAGATTGCTCCAGGAGCACATCCATGGGGAATATTGGGGATTTAATGCACACTCCCAGATTGCTCTGGGAATACATCCCTGGAGTTTATTTGGGGTTATTCCATGCTCCCAGGTTGCTCCATGGGCATATCCTAGGTGAATATTTGGGATTTATTCCCTGGTGGATATTTGGGGTTATTCCATGGAATTATTTGGGGTTATTCCCTAGTGGATATTTGGGGTTATTCCATGGAATTATTTGGGGTTATTCCATGAGCACATCCCTGGAGTTTATTTGGGGTTATTCCATGCTCCCAGGTTGCTCCATGGGCATATCCTAGGTGAATATTTGGGATTTATTCCCTGGTGGATATTTGGGGTTATTCCCTGGAGTTATTTGGGGTTATTCCCTGGAGTTATTTGGGGTTATTCCCTGGAGTTATTTGGGGTTATTCCATGCTCCCAGGCTGCTCCATGGGCACACCCCTGGTCTGTATTTGGGATTTTTCCATGTTCCCTCTGGAATTCCTTGGCACCCCTGATCCCGAAGTTCCCCCGCGTCCCTCAGCAGTTAACACAGGATGTTTCACTGCTGATCCCACAGAACCCATCCCTCCTCATTCTCATGGAATTCTGGAAATGGAGGGAGCCCTAATTAACTAAATCTGCCTTGGTTGCCATGGGAACTCAGGTCTGTCAAGGAGCTTTAATTCCAAGATTCCACCAGAGCTCCTGTTTAAAAATCCCAAAAAACTCAGGGATTTAACACCAGGAGGAGCCTGGAGGTAAAAGAATTGTAATAAAATAATTGAAATGAAAAGTTGAAATAATGAAAATATTTGAAATAAATAATTGAAATTTAAAAGTGGAAATAAATATTTGAAAGAAATATTTGAAATAAAAAATGGAACTAAAATAATTGCAATAGGTAATTTAAATAATTAAGATAAATAAAATATTTAATTTGAAGAATTAAATCATTTGGATCCTTCTGGCTCCTTAGTAGGGGACTAAAACCCAGGCCAGAGGTGGAGTCCCATCCCCAAGGATTTAAAAGCTATGGAATGAGAACATGGATTGGTGGTGGACGAGGTTAACATTGGACTCAATGATCTTGGAATTTTTTTCCAAACTAAATAATTCCTGGATTCCCAGCCTTTCTCACTCCATAGTGATCCAGCAGCAAAATTTGTAATTTTATTTAACCCCAAAGTTCTAAATTCCAGCATTCCAGCATGTTTTAGATTATCCTGAGCACAGATTTTGGCTCCAGCACTGGAAAGGGACAATTTCCATCTGGGATAAGTTCCCCACATTGGCTTCTTCATTTAGTATGGAATTTTTGGGATTTCACCAGCACATGGAGAACACACCCTGAATTCCTGGGTTTCACCTCTGAGGGTCTGGGATGTGCTGCCTTGCGTGGCAATATCCTGGGAATGCTGGGGCTTTCCTCAGGGTGGCCATGGATGGGATTCTGCTTGGAAAAATTTACATATATATATATATATACACACACATATATATATATACACACACATATATATATACACACACATATATATATAGATATACATATATATAAAAATGTAAATATATAAAAAATAGAAATATATCTATTCCATGTTTATATTTACATATATAATATGTTTAAATAAGTGTATATCAAAAGGTATGAAAAAATTACATGTGTATATTTGAGTGTGTGGGTAGAAGTTCTGCTCTGTTCCTTTGAATATTATGGAATCCTGGAAAATCCATGCCCTCCATGAATCCATTAGGGAATGACACCTTTCCCAGCAGGATGGGGCTGTTTGTGCTCCAGGGACACGAATCCAAGTGAGCCATTCCCAGCACTTCCACTCTGGGAGCTCTGGGGAAGAGCAGGAAAAATCCAGTCAAAATTGTCTTTATTCCTCCCTGGAGTGTGGCTGGGCCTGAGCTCCATGGATTTTGGGGAAGAGCAGGAAAATCCAATCAAAATTCTCCTTTCATAGCTCCTGTTTGTTTCCCACAGAATTCCCATGTGGTGAAATGTGCTGTAAATTCTACAGTGTCCTTTAAAAAGCCTTTTTTTCCCTATTCAACTCCTCCCAAGCATTCCCAGCTGGATTTGAGCTGCTGCTCACTCAGGAAACCCAAATCCCACCCAATTTACCCTGACAATTCCCCTGAAATAATCCACGGGAATGGGAGCAACCCTGGAGTGTGGCTGGGTCCAAAGCCCATGGATTTTGGGGAAGAGCAGGGAAATCCAGTTAAAATTGTCTTTATTGATCCCTGGAGTGTGGCTGGGTCTGAGCTCCATGGATTTTGGGGAAAAGCAGGGAAATCCAGTTAAAATTGTCATTATTGATCCCTGGAGTGTGGCTGGACCCGAGCTCTGGGCATTTTGAGGAAGAACAGGAAAATCCAATCAAAACTCTCTTTTCATAGCTCCTGTTTGTTTCCCACAGAATTCCCATGTGGTGAAATGTGCTGTAAATTCCACAGTGTCCTTTAAAAAGCTGTTGTTTTTTATTCCCAAGCATTCCCAGCTGGATTTGAGCTGCTGCCCGCTCAGGAGGCCCAAATCCCACCCAGTTTTCCCTGACATTTGTTGCCAGGCGGGGCCAAATCCGTGAATTTTCCCTTGACGCCCCTGCTGGGATGGGTGCTGGGGACACGGACGGGGACATGGCTCCCAGCACGGCCCTGCTGTGTTGGGGCTGGCTCCTGCACGCTGCCCACGCTCCCGTTGCAGATCTGGCAGTGTGGAGGCTCCCTGGAGATCGTCACCTGCTCCCACGTGGGACACGTCTTCCGCAAGGCCACTCCCTACACCTTCCCGGGGGGCACGGGCCACGTCATCAACAAGAACAACCGCCGGCTGGCCGAGGTCTGGATGGACGAGTTCAAGGATTTCTTCTACATCATCTCCCCGGGTACGGCCGCCTTTGGGATCCACGCGTGCTCCGGAGCTCCCTGGAAAAGGGAGCTGGGAGTGGGAGGTGGTGTGGAGTTGTTTGGGTTGGAGAAGTTCTCTGAGATCTTTGAGTCCAACATTCCCAGCACTGCCACATCCCCAGTACCACATCCACTCTGAAATCCCAGCAGGGATGGGCACTCCACCTGAGCAGCTTTTCCTGGAGGAATTTCCCCAAAATCCCCCCTGAGCTGCCCTGGGCCAGCCTGAGGCCGTTCCCTCTGCTCCTGTCCCTGTTCCCTGGGAGCCAACCTGCTTTTTATATTTATTGTTTTTCCCTTCCGGAGCGAGCCCAGACCAGCTGGAATTTAGTGCTCCCAGAAGTGCCCTCTCCTCTTCCCAGGGTTTGATACAAAATGCCAACAGAGAACCCTTGGTGAAAATTGGATTGCTGGGAAAGGGTGGAATTAGGTCACTGCCAGTGAAAAGGGTTTGTAATCCAAAACTTCAGCCATGTGGAAGAATTTGGGAATCGGTGGTATTCGTATTCCCTGATCTCTTCCCATGTTATTTCTTAATACCTGTATTAATTAATAGATAAAATATAATGAGGTTGCTCCTCAGCACTGAGAAGCAAATGGAGGAGAAAGATAAATAAACTGAAGATTTTCATGGAAATTCTTCATAAAAAGAAGTAGGAAATAATAGATTCTTTTTTTAAATATGGGGCGTTCCTAAATATAAAAAGCATTCCTAAGTATTTTTAATTGCTTTTTGATCATTTCCCCTTCCTATTAATGAGGAAAATGGAGATCTCTGGATAATTCTGTGGGAGAACAAAGGAATTTGCCTGTTGGTAATGAGGGCTCTGTTGTCTGGCACAGCCCCATCCCCCAGCTCCTCTGGGAGCTGATTCATCCCATTCCTGAGTCAGGATCCCAGGAGAGAGGAGCCAGGGGCTGCTCCCGGTGGGAAGTAGGCTTCTCAGCATAATTAGGGGCACACCTCATAATTACATCCCAAATTAAAAGTCTGGGGAGAGCTGCTTCCCTGGGAGCTGATTCATCCCATTCCTGAGTCAGGATCCCAGGAGAGAGGAGCCAGGGGCTGCTCCCGGTGGGAAGTAGGCTTCTCAGCATAATTAGGGGCACACCTCATAATTACATCCCAAATTAAAAGTCTGGAGAGAGCTGGGAAAACAGAATTCTGCTGGAGGAGAGCTCAGCTCTAATTTTTGGGATCTTGGGCATATTTTTAATTGGTGCCTTCTCCTGTTTTTGTGTGGATAACAGGAAAACCTTTATTTGTGCTGAGATGAGTCAGGAGCCAGAGTTTTTAATAAATCCAAGCTGGATTTAAGAAAACCAGGAAAAAAAAATCCCAAAGCAGTGAGGAAAACTCTCCTTTGGGTTTAGTGTCACCCTGCATTGCCAAGGAATTGGGAGTTTTCCTTGGGAGGAGCCTGGCTAAAGGCCTGCAGCTCATGAGCCAAATAATTCAGGAGAGCTTCAGAAATCCCAGAAATCCTGGATATGCTTCAAATGGGATTTCTTAGGAAGGAAAGGGAATGGATGAATCTGGAATCCAGGAGCTGCCACGTGTGGGGCGGTCCCAGCCTGGGTCAGATGAGGTTCAGATGATCCTGGGAGAGGAAATGGGAGGGATTTTCCTCCTAAATCAAAGTAAATATTTACAATTATCTAGCTGCAAAAAAGGTTCTTCCCTGTCTGTGTGGGAGGGCAAAAAGTGGGATTGGGATCCTCTCCTGAAACACAAACTGTGCCCAAAATATTCCCTCCACAGCCACTGGTTTTCAACAGTCTCTCCTTCCTCTCCTTCCTCTCCTTCCTCTCCTTCCTCTCCTTCCTCTCCTTCCTCTCCTTCCCTCCCTCGTGGTTCTGAGCTGGTTTGGAGCTGGAATCTCCATGTGCATGGACAGCAGCAGGAATTTCCCCATGGAAAGGGGCTCAGACCTTGTCAGGGGCTGCCCAGGGAGGGTTGGAGTGCCCATCCCTGGAGGTGTCCCAGGGATTCTGGAGGTGGCACTCTGGGCTGGGGACAGGGTGGGCATTGGGCACAGCTGGGATTTGATGACCTTGGAATGCTTTTCCAGCCTCCATGATTCCATAAAAAACTTGTGTCCGGGTCCTGGCTCCATGTCTGCTCCTTCGGGACCTTTTGTGGTGGCTGCAGATGGACACAAAGAGTGGGAAGAGCCATGGGATGCTCCAAGGAAATCCAGCTCAGGTGCTGGCCTTGGACACTTCCAGGGATCCACGGGCAGCCACAGCTTCTCTGGGAATCCTTGCCAGGCCCTCCCCGCCTTGTCTGAGTTATTCCTGTCAGGGGAATGCAGGGAAACGTGGTTTGTGAAAATGTGACCAGATTCTTTTATTGTTTTGGAATATGAAGAAATCAGGGAATTCTGCAGTCCTGCCTTTCCAGACTGACAAAGGAAAGAAAAAGGGTCACTTCCCAAGCATTTCACTTGACTCCATTAATGAGTGAATTAATTATAATTACCCTTGCACACCTCCATGGAGCCACTCAGCCCTCACATCCTGCTGCTCCCAATCCCAGCACATGGACTGGAATCAACAAGAGCTGGGGGCGCCTCTGGGATTTTCCCCAAATGTTTGATGGGCTCTTGTGTCACCATTCCAGGGGTGCTGAAGGTGGATTACAGAGATGTTTCCATTGGGAAAACCCTGCAGGGGAGCTGGAAATGACTCTGGGATTTTTCCCAAACTGGGATGTTTGATGAGTCGTTGTCTTGCCATTCCAGGGGTGGTGAAAGTGGATTACAGAGATGTTTCCATCAGGAAAGCCCTGCAGGGGAGCTGGGGCAGCTCTGGATTTTGCCCAAATGTTTGATGGGCTCTTGTGTCACCATTCCAGGGGTGCTGAAGGTCGATTACGGAGATGTTTCCATTGGAAAAACCCTGCAGTGGAGCTGGGGATGACTCTGGGATTTTCCCCAAATGTTTGATGGGCTCTTCTCCTGTCATTCCAGGGGTGGTGAAGGTGGATTACGGAGATGTTTCCAAAAGGAAAAACCCTGCAGGGGAGCTGGGGATGACTCTGGGATTTTCCCCAAATGTTTGATGGGCTCTTGTGTCACCATTCCAGGGGTGCTGAAGGTCGATTATGGAGATATTTGCCTCAGGAAAATCCTGCAGTGGAGCTGGGACGGCTCTGGGATTTTTCCCAAACTGAGATGTTTGATGAGCCCTTGTGTTGCCATTCCAGGGGTGGTGCAGGTGGATTATGGAGACATTTCCATCAGGAAAACCCTGCAGTGGAGCTGGGGATGGCTCTGGGATTTTCCCCAAATGTTTGATGGGCTCTTGTGTCACCATTCCAGGCATGGTGAAGGTGGATTATGGAGATGTTTCCATTGGGAAAACCCTGCAGGGGAGCTGGGGCGGCTCTGGGATTTTCCCCAAATGTTTGATGAGCCCTTGTGTTGCCATTCCAGGGGTGGTGCAGGTGGATTATGGAGACATTTCCATCAGGAAAACCCTGCAGTGGAGCTGGGGATGGCTCTGGGATTTTCCCCAGATGTTTGATGGGCTCTTCTCCTGTCGTTCCAGGGGTGGTGAAGGTGGATTACGGAGACGTTTCCGTAAGGAGAGCCCTGCGGGAGAGGCTGGGGTGCAAACCCTTCTCCTGGTACCTGGAGAACGTCTACCCCGACTCGCAGATCCCGCGGCGCTACTACTCCCTGGGAGAGGTAGGGGCTGGCCCTGCAGGGATGAGCGGGAATGGCGGGACAACGGGAAGGGCAGCGATCCGCGAGAGCAGGAAAGGAAGGAAAACAGTAAAGAAAAACCAGGAATGGCAGGAAACCAGGAATTAAAGGAAATCAATCTGTGCAGGAAACCAGTAGTACAAACCAGTAAGTAAAGCAAGAACTGGAAACCAGTAAGGGAAGGAAACCAGTAACTGCAACAAAGCAGGAAGTCCAGGAAAGCAGGAAAACCAAGAAATACAGGAAACGAGTAAGAAGTGGAAACCAGTAAGGAAAGGAAAGCAACCTTGCAGGTAAACAGTAATTACAACAAACCAACAAGTAAAGAAAACAAATAAATCCAGGACACCAAGAAGTGCAGCAAACCAGTAACTGCTGGAAACCAGTAAGTGAAAGAGATCAGCAATGTCGGAAACCAGTAAATAAAGGGAGCCAGTCGTACAGGAAAGCAGCAAGGAAAGGAAACCAGTAACTACAGCAAAGCAGTAGTACTGGAAACCAGTAAGAACTGGAAACCTGTTAGTAAGGAAAACCAGTACCAAAAACCAGCAAGGGCAGGAAACCAGTAAGTACAACAAACCAGTAAGGAAAGAAACCAGTAAGTACAGGGAACCAGGAGGTGTCCAGAGCCAATGGATCCACTCCCAGGGGGATGAGGTGCCTTTGGAGCCAAGACTCAGGTGCTGGAGTTCCTTTCTTGTCTCTTATTCCTCTTGATTTCTTATTTCTCTTTATTTCCATTTTTTGCAGTCATTTTTAAGGAGAAGTTGCTGTTCCAAACATATTCCCTCTTTTAAAAATCTCCCTTTAAATCAAGTGTCTGTTCCAAATGTTCACCAGGCAAATCTGTCTCCCAAGTGGAGCAGGAGAGTGGAAAAGTGAAGTTTGGGATTAATATTTTGACACAATGAATATGCAGCTCTTGAGGGGAACCTTCCTTCATCATTAATTGCTTAGAAATGGCTTTTTTGGGATTTTTTTAAAGAAATGTTTGTTTGCTGAGTGTTTCCCAGCCTGGGGCTGAGGGTCAAGGACATTCCTGGTAATCACAAGGTTCTGGGACCACCAGGAGCTGGAATTCCTTTGAAATTCAACAAATTCACAGTTAAAAATATTATATTGAGTCATTCCTGTGCTGCCTTTTAAAAGCTCTGGGATGGGTTGATTTGATGATGATGGAACAACAATCAAAGGATTTGATGATGGAATAACAATCCTGAAATAACACTCTGAGGAACAAATGGCTTTTTTTGACATCCAGGGAAGTGATTTCCCACTGAAATTTGCCATTGTAGGTGGGAATAAAAGGCACTGGAGGATTCCAGGTTTAATCCTGCCAAAATAAAGGGAAATGGGGGTTTCCAGCAAGGAAAGGACTTGTCATGGGAATGTCAAATAAAGTGGGATTGTGCCATGTTGTCAGGGTGGAAAATGGGATGAGAAAGGCAGAAAAAAGTGATTAAAACACCTGATCTGTGCAGTGTGGCCTCAGTTCCCATGGAAACAGCAGCTCAGGCAGGAGCTGGGAATTAAAGCCCTGCTTGGCTGTTCCAGTGGAGCAGGAAAAGGGAATTGCAGCCTGAAAGCCCAGGGAGCAGCAGAGAAATGGGCAATTTTTAAGGCATTGGAAGTGCATTTTTTTGGACATCTTCCTGCCTTTCAGAAGAGATTTGGGCAGGATTTGATCCATCCAAGCTGGAGCAGCATCATTAGGCCATAAATGATCCATGTCCTGCCCTGGATGGCTCCTCCTGGGCTCCCATCCAAGGAGAAATGGTGTAAATCAAAGGTGAGCAGCACCAGGCCTCAAAGTGCATTTCCCAGGTGGAGGTTTTGTTGTTTCTGGAATGGACAGGGAGAAAAAGAATGGAGATTTCAACAGATCTGGGAAAATTATCCTGAATTCCCTCATGGCCTGACATGGAATAGTGAGAGGTGTCCCTGGCCATGGAGGAGCTCTGGGGCCACTCCAGCCCAGCCCATTCCCTGGCTATTTGGGAATGTGATCTGTTTGCAAATTGCACTTTTCTGCACAAATCTGGCAGGTCTGGGAAGTATTTTAAGGAATATTTCACCTCTTTCCTTTCTCCAGATCAGGAATGTTGAAACCAACCAGTGCTTGGACAACATGGGCCGCAAGGAGAACGAAAAAGTGGGATTTTTCAACTGCCATGGCATGGGAGGGAACCAGGTAAATAAAAGCAGGGAAAAGTGGCTTATTTGTCCAAGAATTCCTTTGGAATATTTAAAATATCTATTTCAATTCCATTTTAGATTTTGTGTGAAAGTAACAGCAAAAAAAAGCAATGAAAATTCCAAAATACTTTCAATTTCGAGCTGAAGGATTTTAAGAGGACTCGACCATTTTTTTTCAATTTCAGCTCCAGATTTTGGGGGAATATTGGTGCAAATCCATGGGAAGTATCCCAGTGAATATATTGAATAGAATCCTGCTGTCATTTAGTAATAAATTTGACATTCCAGACACAAACTTTAGGAAATGCGATCAGGAATTTGAGTTTATTTTCATAAAAATGAAATGGGCATAATCCATAACGTAGCTGGATCCATCTGTTCTGAATGTGTGCAGGGAAAAAAAAATATCCAGGATATTCATGGAAGTTCTTTAGTGCAATTCCAGTAGTGGGGGCCTGGGGAGTTTCATTTGGAGGAGCTGGAAAGGGATGAAAAGTGGATGGAATTCTTGGTCTTGTGACCAACGACTCTGGGTTAATTAGAACAAAATTTGCATATTCCAGTGGATATTCAAATTAGCATGGCTGCTCCAGATGGGGTTTGGGATGTAAATTATAATTAGGGGCCTTTTAAGCATATTTGAAATTAACTCTATTTTAATTAATTAGAATTTATTATTTATGTGTAGAATTTTCCAGGGGTGGTGCCAGTCTGGCATGGTCAATTCCTCCCGGTAGCTCTGGTGTTCCAGACACCTGCTCCTGGCCACATTCCTGGTGGGAAAGGCTGGGATGCTCCGTGTTCCCATCCCTGGTTTATCCTGGAGGTTCATCCCAGCTCCTGCCATCTCCTCCTGTCACTTCCTCCATCCTCGCTGGAGCTTGGCCTCATTTCTCTGCTTCTTGGCTTGGAGAACCTTTCCCTTCCCCTGAATTCCTGTGGATTTCTCCAGGGGAAAACCTTTCCCTTCCTGTGAATTCCTCCAGGAATTCCCATGGATTCCTCTAGGGGAAAACCTGTCCCTTCCCCTGAATTCCCATGGATTTCTCCAATGGAGAACCTTTCCCTTCCCACGGATTCCTCCCTGGGAAAACCTTTCCCTTCCCCTGAATTCCCATGGATTTCTCCAGGGGAAAACCTTTCCCTTCCCCTGAATTCCCATGGATTCCTCTAGGGGAAAACCTGTCCCTTCCCCTGAATTCCCATGGATTTCTCCAATGGAGAACCTTTCCCTTCCCATGGATTCCTCCCTGGGAAAACCTTTCCCTTCCTCTGAATTCCCGTGGATTTCGCTGAGGAAGGGCTCCAGCTCTCCAGCCCGGGGTCCGTGCCGGGGCTGGGGCTGGGGTTGCAGCCCTTTTCCAGCCCCTGTGTGTTCCAGGTGTTCTCCTACACGGCGGACAAGGAGATCCGCACGGACGACCTGTGCCTGGACGTGTCGCGGCTCAACGGCCCCGTGCTCATGCTCAAGTGCCACCACCTGAGGGGCAACCAGCTCTGGGAGTACGATGCCGAGGTATCCCGGGCCCGGGGGGTGGTTTGGCACTATCCCAGGATCCCTGAGGCTGGAGAAGCACCCCAAGGTCATGGAGTGCCAGCTGTGCCCACCCTGTCCCCAGCCAGAGCCCCGAGTGCCACCTCCAGGAGTTCCTGGGACACCTCCAGGGGTGGGCACTCCAACCCTCCCTGGGCAGTTCCAATCCCTGAGCCCCTTTCCATGGGGAAATTCCTGCTGTGCCCACCCTGAGGCTGGAAAAGCCCTCCCAGGTCATCAAGTCCGTGCTGTTCCCCATTCCCACTTTGTCCCCAGCTCAGCCACATCCAGAAATTCCTTGGGCACCTCCACCCTTCCTGCCTGGACGGCTGGAATTCTTCCAATAAAATACACACAGGGAATGTGCTGGTTTTTCCCTTAAATTGACCAGAATTTCCCAGGAATTGTGTAAATCCCAGCTCGGCCATGAGATGGAGCTCCTGAAACAGGAATACTCCATGTTTTTGTGGCATCTCCAAGGACTGGCTGCTTGTTCTCCTGGAAAACATCCCACTGCATTCCCTGTCCCTGGATTTATTGAGTAAAGATTTTATTGGCAGTTTTCCTTGGAATACTCAGATTTCAGCTGCCCACTTCCCTTTCATTTCATTACTGCCATTATTATATATTTGTTAGTTATTAATGTATTTATTTGTTATTAACGTCCAAGTATTCTCAATATTCAGGAATTTTTTCCCAAGATAGCAACCAGTTGTGATATTCCAATTTTTTTTCCCCAGAGAAACAATTACAGGGTATTTCCTGGATTCCTTGTATTCATTAATTTGATTTTCCAGTGGAATTACACTGATTTTTCCTTTCCTTGCTTATTCAGGCATTGCATAGAGGGATTTGTGGTTGTTTTTAGGAATTCTGGCTTGGCACTGGACAACAGGGCCACAGCTGGACATGAAATTATCCTAAAAAGGGGTTTCTCTGAGGGATTTTTGTGGAATTTTCTGTGATTTCCTGCTACTATTAATTTTTTATAGTTTCCTAATTTAATTTGTGGTATTTAAATACTGAATAGCTTCCAGGCTCCCACTCCTGGTGATTCCCATTGTGACATCTGGGGAAACCTCTGGATGTGGAGAGGGATGAGATCCTGGGCCGTGACACGCACCAAGGGACCCAGGGAAAAAAATGAAGTTGGAAATGTGTCACAGCTGATAGGAAGGAGTTTAATTCCTTGTGGCTGCATGGTGACAGCAGTGTTTATTCCTGAAAAGCTCCTCAGGGTTTATTCCTGACACATCCCTCAGGGTTTATTCCTGACACATCCCTCGGGGTTTATTCCAAGGCTGCCAGAGCTCCAGGAGTGTTTGGACACGCTCTCAGGGACAGGATGGGATTGTTGGGATATCCTGGCAGGGCCAGGGCTTGGATCAGTGATCCCTGTGGATCCCTTCCTGCTCAGAATTCCATTATTTTTTCCTGGATAATTGCCACAGTTTGTCCCCAGTCGCGGTGTCCCTGCAAAGCTGTGGAATTTCCATCCAGGGAGAGCTGAGGGGCTGCACAAAAAATGTTCCTTGGATCACTGACTGCGCTTTCCTTCTGTCTTCCCTTCCCTCAGTATTTTGGGAAATGGGAGTATAGCTTTGAGGTAAGTCTGGTGCAATCCCTGTGCCAAATCCCAATCCCTGGAGTAGCTCCTGTAGCAGTGCCCTCACTCAGTGCTTCTCCATAGCTGCTGCTCCAGCATTCCAGAGCTTCCTGCTCCCTGAGCCAGGCTGGGAGAGCTGGGAATGCTCCCCTGGAGAAGGGAAGGCTCCAGGCAGAGCTCAGAGCCCCTGGCAGGGCCTGCAGGGGCTCCAGGAGAGCTGCAGAGGGACTGGGGACAAGGATGGAGGGACAGGAGCCAGGGAATGGCTCCCAGTGCCAGAGGGCAGGGATGGGTGGGACATTGGGAACTGGGAATTCCTGGCTGGGCTGGGATTGCCAGAGCAGCTGGGGCTGCCCTGGATCCCTGGAGTGTCCAAGGCCAGGCTGGATGGGGCTGGGAGCAGCCTGGGAGGAGTCCCTGCCATGGTGGATTGGCTGGGATTTAAGGTCTTTCCACCCCACACCATTCCATGAATCCATGTACCAGGAAAAGCCTGCTCAGATTGCCACATTCGTGTTTATCCCCACGTGAGGATAAACAATTCCATGAATCCATGTACCAGGAAAAGCCTGCTCAGATTGCCACATTCGTGTTTATCCCCACGTGAGGAATCCCCTGCCTTTGGATATTTCATATCCTGTCAACCAGAGAGAGAACTCCAGTTCCTGTCTGATGGAGCTCTGCTCTCCTGGAAGGATTGATGGACAGGAGGGAACAGGGAGTGCTGATCCAGAGGGATCCAGCACTGCTGTCCCTGCCCGTGACTCCAAGTGACATTTTGGGGACACTTGACTCTGGCATTTTTAGTGGCTCCTTTATCCTCATGTCACTTTTTGCATTCCCAAGCCAAAAACATGGAAAAGGGGCAGGTGAAGGGTGTGGGAAAAGCGTTCCGGCTGCTCCAGCCCTGGGTACTCCATGATGGGGTGACAGTGGGAAGAATTTAGGGAAGTGGAAGCTCCCCTTCATCTCATCCCACCTGGAATTGGCACTGGAATGGAAAAGCTGGAATTGTGGGGGGAAAAAAAACCCCAAACCAAAGCAACAACAACAACAACAAACAAAAAACAAAACAAAAAAAAAAAAAAAAAAAAAAAAAAAAAAAAAAACCCCACAAAACCAAAAAAAAACAAAAAACCCCCCAACCCCAAAACAAAACAAAAACCCCACAAAACCAAAAACAAACAAAAAACCCCCAAAAAACCCACAAACAAACAAAAGAGAAACCCTCATAAATGTTTAGTGAATTCTATTTTTCTATTTTTAACTGGGTAATTCCCAAATGGGGTTCAGGGTGCTTTGTGCAGGAAAAACCCCAGCTATTCCCAGAACTTTCCAGTGGGGAATCACAGCCATCCCAGGGCTTGGAGAGGCAGGATGGGGAGCCGTGCTCCATGATGGATCATGGGAATGGGCTCAAGAGCAGGGAGGAAATTTTGGGATATTTGTGCAGAACAAAACTCCATCTCTGCCTGGGTCTTCCCAGGGAATTGGGAATTCCCTGGGAATTGCAGCAATCCAAGGTGTTGGAGGAGCAGGACTGGGAGCCACAATCCACTGTGGATCATGGGAATGCCCTCAAGAGCAAGGTGGAAGTTTTGGGATATTTCTCCTAGGAAAATCCCATCTCTGCCTGGATCTTCCCAGCAGGGAATTGCAGCAATCCAAGGGTAGGGAGAATGAGCCACAATCCACTGTGGATCATGGGAATGCTCTCAAGAGCAAGGTGGAAGTTTTGGGATATTTCTAGAAAAACTCCATCTGTGGATCTTCTCAGGAGGGAATTGCAGCAATCCAAGAGCAGGGAGAAGGGAGTTTCAGCCACAGTCTGGATCATGGGAATGCTCTCAAGGGCAAGGCTTTTGGGATATTTCTAGGAAATATCTGTGGGTCTTCCCGGTAGGGAATTGCAGCAATCCAAGGGCAGGGAGAATGGAATTTGGAGCCACAGTCTGGATCATGGGAATGCTCTCAAGGGCAATGTGGAAGTTTTGGGATATTTCTAGGAAATACCTGTGGATCTTCCCAGCAGGGAATTGCAGCAATCCAAGGGCAGGTAGAAGGGGACTGGGAGCCACAGTCTGGATCACGGGAATGCTCTCAAGAGCAGGGAGGAGATTTTGTGTGCCGTTCAGTCCCATGCCATGAATTCCCCTCCGCACCTCCCCGTTGATCCCCGGCTCATTCCCGGCCCGTTCTCCGTGAGCAATTCCCAGTTTTCCCGCTTTTGCAGAGGCGCACGTTCCTGCACATCATCACGCAGTCGTGCCTGACGCTGGGCAGGGTGGAGGACGGCTCGCAGGGCCCCACGGTGGAGGCCTGCGACGGGAGCCCCCTGCAGAGCTGGGTCCTCAGGAATTACTCCCGCCTGGAAGTCTTTAGGAAGGTTTACTCCAGCCCCACGGATTATTTCCTGTAGGGGCGCCGGGACTGGGAGGAAAGCTAGGATGGGCTTTTGCAGAGGCGCACGTTCCTGCACATCATCACGCAGTCGTGCCTGACGCTGGGCAGGGTGGAGGACGGCTCGCAGGGCCCCACGGTGGAGGCCTGCGACGGGAGCCCCCTGCAGAGCTGGGTCCTCAGGAATTACTCCCGCCTGGAAGTCTTTAGGAAGGTTTACTCCAGCCCCACGGATTATTTCCTGTAGGGGCACCGGGACTGGGAGGAAATCTGGGATGTGGTAAGGAATTGCCAGGAGATCTTCCTGCTCTGGGCTCTGCTGGAGGAGCTCGGTGGAGGTTCTGTCTTGTTTTAAATTTGGGTGGAATTTTTGTATTTTAAAAATATTTTTGGGCAGTTTTGAAGATGTTCGTATTTCATGGAATGCTTCAGGGAAATTTACCAGAATGTTTGAAACGCTTTTTCACACAGTTTTCATTGTTTCATGTCATTCTTCATACAATTTGCATAAAATTGTTCATAAAAATTCATAAAATTTTCATCGCATTTTCATGGATCTTTTGTAGAATTTTCATAGAATTTTGTTATAATTTTTCATATAATTTTCAGACAATTATTTTATATAATTTTCCATGGAGTTTTCATAGAATGTTCATATAATTTTTTGGTAGAATTTTAAGAGAATTTTGATAGAATTTTCATTAAATCTAATATTTTTTCATAGAATTTTCATATAATTTAATAGAACCTTTCATATAAATTTTTTCTATAAAACAAGACAGAAGATTATTTTATAGCTGTAGGATAGAACAGATGTTTAATGTTAGTTCTTAGTTCTTAGTAATTGTTAGTTACTAGTAATTATTAGTGTTAATTATTGCTAGTTTTAATCAATTTTGGATTAATTAAACTCCCTTGATCTCTTGCTATCACCATGATTATTCCAAGCTGCAGGAGCTGAAGATTGGGTTCCTATTCCAAGACATAAAAATAATTCCAGTTGCAAAACATTTTCTCAAAAAGCTTCCGTTTTTCCTAGGATTTTCCCTAGAATTTTCCTAGAATTTGATTTTTTTAATAGATTTTTTTTCCTATAATTTTCATGGAATTTTTCCCGTTCATTGGAGTAGCACAAGGAGATGGGTGGTAAGAAAACCAAATTCCTTGTTGGAATTTCCCACCAGTTTACTTGGAACACCAGAAAAAAGTCTTTATATATATATATATATACACACATCTATTTAAATTTATATATATGTATATATTTTATATTTTTTATTTCTATATAAAAATAAAATATATAGAAATATAATTGATATAAATTTACACTAATAAACACCTATGTGTTTATTAAGTAATATATAAACATAGCTATATTTTTCAGTAAATATAATATTATACAGAAATATTATAAATTATGGAGATAAATGGTGTTTATGAGCCATGAGAGCATCAGACTCTTGTGAAAATGATTTCTGATTTTCCTTCAGTTAAGGATATTATTATATTTTTATTTTAATTTATATTTTATATTATTTTTGCTATATAATTTTTTATTATTTTATATATCACATACTTTATATTATTATAGGTTATATTATATTTTACATATAATCTATATTCTTTAATATATTAATTTTATATTGTCTATTTTAATGATAATATATTATAATATCTATTTTATTATCTAATCTAATATTTTGGTTTTTTATATTGTTTTATATAATTTATTTTTTAAATATTTTATCAATATTTGTCCTCCTGGGTGAGCCCAAGACCTCAAGCAGCTCCCACCATTCCAGCCCCTCTATCCCTGAGGAGATCCCAACGTTTGACATCAGCCTGGGCTGTTTGGGATGAATTTTGGGATTCATTCCTCCTTTCTCCCCTCTCCCGAGGGCTGCAGGATTTTCCTGCCCATCCTGGTTTTCCCTGATTTTTCCCTTGCCATAAAATGGGCTCTGCTCCAGTGGATGCTCAGCAGACAGGATTTCCACCCTGAAATTCCCCGTTCCCAGGGTTCTTGGGAGAGCTGGGAGTGTTCCCCTGGAGAAGGGAAGGCTCCAAGGAGAGCTTCCAGCACATTCCAGGGCCTGGAGCGGCTCCAGGAGAGCTGCAGAGGGACTGGGGACAAGGATGGAGGGACAGGAGCCAGGGAATGGCTCCCACTGCCAGAGGGCAGGGATGGGTGGGACATTGGGAACTGGGAATTCCTGGCAGGGTGGGCAGGCCCTGGCACAATCCCAGGGAATGGTGGTGGGAATGCTCCTGGCTCAGCTGGGACTGAACCTCTCTGGTTTTATATAAGGACAGAATTTCCTGTTTAACTTCCTGGCATTTCTCTGGGAATTTGTTCTCCCCGTGGAGCAGGTGGTGTTTTATTCCTTCCAGTTTGTTTTGTGTCCTCCTGGTTCTCCCATCCCACAGAAAGGTGGGTGTCCCAAAAAGGAAAGATGACCTGGGAACAGGAGGGTTTCCATGGAATACCGAGCAAATACATCCCCATCAGCATCAATTCCCGCTCTGCTCCCAAACATTCCACGTGTCCACGGCCGTGGAGACCAAACTCCTCCATCCAGCCGCTGTGCCTTGGAAACACAAGATTTCCCTGGCGTTATTCTCCCTTTGCTGAGGGGTTGCTGGCTCGGCAGAGGGAGGAGCAGGGCGGCTCCGGTGGGGACATCCCGGAGCTCCGGGAGACCGCTCCACCAAACCAGGCCCGCAAATCGCACCCCCCGGCTGGAATGCCATCTGGAATGCAGGAATTCTGTGTCCCCCCCTTGCAGAAGCTCACCCTG